CCATGCCAGTGCTAGAGCCAGTGTTTAATTGGGGACTCGGGGCAGAGTCTGTGTGGAGAATGCATTTGTGATCTAATCTCATCCATTATCCACGAGGTTAGGCTCCAAGGAGCTCATAGTAGGAATGTTCTGGAACATAAGAACCCTGACATATTTAGTTTTCTAAACCTAACCTGGAACCCTCTTTCCCTCCTTGGAGGATGGATGCTCTTTGCCTTCTGAAAAATTATGCTCAGATATTGGCCCAAGGGCAGGCAGATGGTGGGTGATTAATGAATGTCCAAAAAGAGAATAAATAAAGGGACAAAAGGAGGAAAGAAATAAGGATCATTCTGATAGTTTTGATTCCTTGGGAACCCCACATTCATCTCTGGTTCCTTCCTGGGGTCTTTATTTTGGGGACATTGAGATATTTTTTAGGCATTTTGCTAAGGTCGAAATGGGATGTTGATAGCACCTCAGTCCTGGCGGACAGATGGAAACAATGAACACCACATGTTAAAAATCTTATAATTGGAAGCTGCTCCGCAGCCCTGATGTTTAAAATCCCTCTCTGGGTGATTGGAGCAGAGATGAAAAGAGAAGGTTAAAAAAATGTGCTCAGCACGTTTTATATACCAAATGCTTTAACATAATCTTCCTAACAGTTCCATGAGGTAGCTGCTATGATTAATACTATTTTCCAGATGACAAAATTGAGGCTCAGAGAGGTTAAATAAGTGCCTTGTGCCTAAGCTCACATAGCCAGGAAGTTAGGGAGCTGGGGACTCAACCTCCCAAAACTCATGTCCCCTTTTGCCAATTAGTAGAAAGTTGAATGCAAAAAAGCCTGTGGTAGGCTGACTAATGCCTAAACAATCCCCCTAAAGATATCCACATCCTCCTGGTGGAACTTGTGATTGTTACCTTCTGTGGTAAAAAATAACTCTGTAGATGTGATTAAATTAAAGGGCCTTGATTGGGAAATTTTGGTGGATTATATATGTGGGTCTTCCTGAGGCAGACAGAAGAGGAGGTGACACAGCTATAGAGGCAGAGATTAGAGCGATATGGCCACAAAGCCGGGGATGCTGGCAGCCACCAGGAACTGGAAGAGACAATAAATGACTTTCCACTTAAAGCCTCTGGAGGGAGTGCAGCCCTTGCCCACACCCTGATTTCAGCCCAGTCGAACTGATTTCCCTGAGATAATAAATTTCTGCTGTTTTAAGCCACCAAGTTTGTGGTATTTGTTAGAACAGCCACAGAGAACTAATATAGGGCCTAGAGATAAAATCCTGAGGAACAACATTTCAGGAACAGTAACAGATTAAGAATTCTGAAGAATTTAGGGGGAATCAGGAGTCTGAAGTAACAAGGAATGTTTCGAGGAGGCAGTAGTTGCCTGCTACCCTGTCCCCCAATTTTGTCCAGCTTCTTTTCATCCTTACAATCTGCCCAGCCCTGAGACTTTGTGCCTGTTGTTCCCTATTGTCTGGAAATGGTTTCCCACAGCTGATGCCTTCTCAACCTCCAAGTTTCAGCTCAAATGTCACCTCCCTGAGCCACCTCCCTGACCACTCAGCTCAAGTGCGTGTTGTAGTGTATTATGTATTACCATGTCTATTTATCCTTCGTAGTCTGTCTCTCTGTGGAATTATTCTGTAATCCATTTACTTGTTCATTCTCTGCCCTCTTCTGCTGGTCCCCACTAGAATGTAAGTAGAACGTCATATTGTTTACCATTCTATTCATAGCACAGAGTTTAAAATATACTAGGTCCTTGATAAGTACTTGTTAAATAAGGGATGGCTGAGGAAAGGGTGTGGGGCTAACTTCACAGAGGAAACTCAGAGCCACCACCACCATGGCCCACGTGAGAGAGTGGCCCCAGCAGAAGCACTGAAGAGTGTGGGCATAGGTGAAACTTCTAGGCTGGGCCAAACTCAGGTGAAGCAACTGATGGGAGCTGGGGGCCAAAAGAGGAAGTCCCTGGAAGGCAGGATATACTGCATCATGGGAACTTATGGAGGAAAGTAAGGAAGCTCTTGAATGGGCAATGGGGCTTCAGATAGAAAATGAGGCTTTTAGGCTACTAGATGACATGGAAGCCTTCAGAAAATGAAGTCAATACAGAGGACTCACCACAGAGGATGGGGTCCAGGAAGGTGCATGAGAGGTGCATCCCAGAGGTGTGCCCACTGGCTGGAGCCTTGTCTTCAATGTCACACACAGGTTTATTTGTGCCTTGAGGTTGGTCCATCCCTTAGATAGTTACTGATCCCCTTTTTATTTAGTGTGTAGTACAGCAGTACCTCAATCATCAGACTTTCAGAAAAACTTGAAGAGAAGCCCAGAGACATCACAGCATGCTGGTGAAAGGCTGATGATGACTATTTCATGGCTTGAGACTAATATACATAATTCATTCAGGACAGTGACTAGCAGGCATATAAGTAAGATTATGGACATTAGAGGAAGTCTCAGTTGGCTCTGAAATGGAATTTGCAATAGTACACAAAGATAACAGTATGAATGTGAGTCCAGGTTGTTTCTTTGAGGACTGGTGGGTTGGAAAGACATCCCTGGAGTGTCCCCAACTTCCAGTTTATTCCTCCTTGAAGTGGAGGGGTGTAGCTAGGACTGCCAGGGAAATTCAGAGGCTGGCATGGTTCCCACACATCCATGTTCTCTTCTGGCACCAACTCACCCATGTGAGCAGATATTAACAGTCAGCTGTGACACTGGGGCCAGTTGGGCAGGGATTTTGTATACAGAAAAGAGAAAGGTATATATTTTTTTTTCCTGAAGTAGGATCATGTATGTGCTTTGAAACAAGTGTTGTCAGTTTTTATTTTGTTTTGTTTAATAGAAAGGATGATGAACACTTTGCTGGCACTTACTCCTGGGCTGAAGGTTGCATTTGTTGTGAAAACTGTCATCCTGACACTTCCAACATGAGAACAGCAACTTCAAACCTCAAAGAACTGTTAGCTCTAAAAATTGGGGTGCTTGATTGGCTAATCTAATCAGTTATGTGGTTTTATAGATGTTAAACTCCTTATGTCCCTATGTATCCCAGAGGGAAAAAAACATATTGGGGCTTTTAGCTGGTAAGCATTTGTTGGCAGGGTTTCAGGATAACTCTCTTCAGATAACTTTAACGTAACTAATGAAAGTTATTAAATTTATATTTCAAGAAAGAAGGTGGAAATGTAACATTTTTCTGGTATTTGCTGGAAATTGTTTTAAGCTTTTTGTTGTAAAATAACAGATACAGAGAAAGAACAACAAATGAGTTGCTTAGTGAGTCATTATAAGGCAAATAAATACCTTTGTAACCATCATCCCCGCCAAGGAATGGAACTTGGCTGCCCATTCCAGAAACCTTTCAATACACTCTGTTTCAATCATAGTGCCATTGCTCCCCAAAGGTAACCATTATCCTTACGGTTACAGTCACCACTTCCTTTTTTTGTTTTTATCCCTCAAATATGCATTTCTAGACCCTATATTTAGTCTTTCTCAATTAAAAATTGATGACTTTTAATTACATGTTTCCCTCATCCCTATATTTTGTTTCTTTTAAACAAAATTATTAAGATATAGCTCACATATCATAAAATTTACTTTTATAAAGTATAAAATTTGGAAGTTTTGTATGTTAACAAAGTTGTAGAACCATCACCACTAATTCCAGAATATTGTTGTCATCATCCTCAAAAGAAATCCTATCCCCATTGCTAATCTCTCTTCCCCCAATAATAGGCTATATTGTTCTGTAGTTTTCTAACCTTAGAATGTTTTTGTGTCATTTGATATCAAGGTAATACTGGCCTCATAGAAGAAGGTGAGAAGCATCCTTTCCTCATCTACTTTTTTTTTTTAAGACTATATGAGAATTTGTGTTAATTCTTCTTTAAATGCTCTTTAAAAATTCACCAGTGAAGCTACACGGTCCTGAGCTCTTCTCTGTAGGAAGATTTTTGATTATTAACTCAATCTGCTTATTTGTTATGTGCCTAGTCAGATTTTCAGATCCTCCTTGAGTCAGTTTGAGTAAATCTGTGTCTTTCTAGGAACTTTCTATTTCATTTAGCTTTTCTAATTTGTCAGCATACAATTATTCATAGTATTTTCTTAAAATTATTTTTATTTCTGTAAGATTGGTACTAATGTCCACTCTTTCATTATTGATTTTAGTATTTTAAGTTTCCTCTCTTTTTATTTTGGTCAATCTAGCTAAAGATTTTCCAATTTTGTTGATTTTTTCCAAATTACCAATTTTGCTTTTTTCACTTTCTCTATTGTTTTTCTATTCTTTATTTAATTCATTTTCAACTCTAGTTTTTATTGTTTACTTCCTTTTTTCTTGATTTGGGTTACTTTGCTCTTTTACATCCCCTCCCTCCTTCTCTCCCTCCCTCCCTTTCTCCTCACCTGAGTGCATGCCTATTGATTTGAGAGAGGGAGAGAGAGAGAGAGAGAGAGAGAGAGAGAGAGAGGGAGAGGGAAAGAAACATCAATGTGAGAGACAAACATCAACTGAGTGCCCATCTGGGGACAAACCCGCAACCTTGGTATGTGTCCTGACCAAGAATCAAACCTGCAACCTTCCAGTTTAATGGATAATGTTCCATCCAGCTGATCCACACTGGCCAGGGCTATGCCTAGTTCCTTAAGGTGGAAGATTAGGATTTTGATTTGAGATCTTTTTAATATAAACATTTGCAGGTATAATTGTTACACTAAGGACTACTTTAGTTGCAACACATAAGTTTTGGTAATGCTTGTTTTTATTACCTCAAAACATTTTCTAATTTTCCTTGTGATTTCATCTTGAGCCACTGGTTATTTAAGAGTATGATTTATAATTTCCACATTTGTCAATCTTCCAAATTTTCTTCTCATTGACTTCTAATTTCATTTCATTGTTTGTGTATATAATTTGTATATTTTCAATATTTTATAATGTATTTTTTTTGTTCTTAGGTTTTATTTAAGAACTTGCACAAAATGTGTCAGGTAAATGAGTTATAATCCTCATCTTCCTCCTCTTCTTCATCCTGGTTTATCTGGAAGTAATGCAATTCGTAACTCTCTTTTCTATTAGCAACTACCTGCAACCAGTCATGTAGAGTATTCTTTTTCAAATATTTTTTTGTGAGATAGTTTAAGGTCCTTTTGGAAAACAACATCTCAGAAGTTACAGTGATCTTACTCTTGCTTCTTTCAATGGTTACAACCCCTCCACCAAGTTTCCCAGCTTTTCCATTCACTTTGATTCTCTTCTGAAGGAACTGCTCAAAATTGGCAGCATACATGATTCCATCTTCTACAGGATGGGTGCAGTCAAGGGTGAACTTCAAAACTTGTTTATTTTTTTGCCCCACCTTCACCATATGCTTTTTCATGGGAGCCATGGCAGCTGAAGAGACAAAAAGCTAAATTTACTAAAACTTGTTTTATGGTCTAGCATACATTTTATCCTAGAGAATGTTTCATGTGCCACTGAGAAGAATTTATATTCTATTGTGTCAAACAGCATGTTTTATAGTCTCATGGGATTAGTTGACATGCAGTGTTGGTAAAGTCCTTATTGGTCTTTTGTATATTTGTTCTATCCATTACTGAAAATACAGAATAGAGGTCTCTATCTTCAGTGAATTGTATATTTTTCCCTTCAATTCTGTCAGTTTTTGCTTCATGTATTTTGAGATTTTTGTTTTTATGTTCATATATATGTGTAGTTGTATTCTTGATGGGTTGATTCTGTTATCATTATAAGATCAAATAATAATTCTCTGAAAGTGGAGTCTTGAAAGACCTATAGCTACGCTTTGACCCTTACAGTTTCTGCTAAGTTGGTTGATTTATCACTGCTTTTATAGAGGGGAAGAGCTTTTTTGGAGGTTCTAACTCTGACATTTCCATGACCTCATTCACTCCTTTTCTTTTCTTCATTAAAAAAAAAATCATTTATATGTTGAAGATTCTGGGCTGTTTAACTTGTAGTTTTCCATGTTCACCTTTTGCAATAGCATACTCTCTGTGCATTTCAATATGTTCTTTATCTTCTAAAGGTCACAAAATGGCAGCTGAACCCAGAGATCTGCTCTGAATCTGGTTCAGTCACTTTGGTAGGATTTGAGATGGTATAGTGTCATTCTGCAGAAGGAACAATGTTTGAGGTTTCAGGGCAAACCTAGAATGTAGTCAAATTTCTTTTCAAGCAGGCTGGCAAGTACATTTATATTTAAAAAAAATTTTTAAAGGCATAAACTTCATTAATCAATGCCTAGTTTCTCTTAACTGCCTATTAAATAAGAAAATTCAATGTGTTCGTTTGTTAAATCTAGATTTTTAAGATCCGATACCATTTACAACTATAATAACTAGTAATATTTCAGTATAGTATATTAATTACCTATGAATACTGAGTTAGAGTTGTCCAGAAATAATCATAAAAGTTAATACTTAAATAGTGCTTATTTTGTGCTAAGCACTATCTAAGCCCTTTTTTATATTGAATATATTTTTATTTGCCTCTACTTGGCCTGCAGTAAATTGCAAATGTCGTTGTATACAGTATATACATTTTCCCCCTTCTGTTCACATGTGTTGTAAAGTGTTGAATATATTATGTTCAGTATCACCAAGTCCCCAGTTTTAGTCTCTTCATTTTAAAAATCTGCACTAAAACCTGTGATCGGCAAATTATTATTCTGCTTATTCGTAGCTATTGAAAAGTTGATGGAGGAGTATCACCACAGGATATATCTGCTGAAGAAGCGGGTATGCAGCCTTAACTATTTCACACATATGTATATATTAATTTATACACACAGTGTCATGTGTCCACATAGGTGCTTGCTGTGCTCACCTAGTGTAGTGTAACTCCATAACTCGAGAGTCCTTGAATAGAGCAACCTGACCTGTGAGTTTTCTTTTTACACACATACTCAAATTTATTACTTCATGCTCATTTATGTTCCAAGGTGGTTGGTTGAATCAGTTTACATTCTCATCTGCAGTATTTAAGAGTCTCACTTTGTTGCCAACAAGTGGTAGTATTGGATTTCTTATTCTTCCCCTTTTAGTTGATGTAAAATTATATTTCATTATGTTTTTAAATTAAACTTTTAATTTTGAAATTCTTGTAGGTTCACATGCAGGTGTAAGAAATAATACCAAGAGATCCCATGTACTCCTTACCAAATTTCCCTCAATGATGACATCTAGCAAAGCTATAGTAAAATATCACAATCAGGATAATGGTGGGGATGCAATGTCAGATCTGGGTGATTTCCCATCACCTGTATTTGTGTGTGTGAGCATGCACAGGAGTGTTTAGTTTCAGGTAATTTCATCACATGTGTAGGTTTGTGTGTACATCACCAGAGTTGAGTCCCATCACCACGAGGATCCCATCTGTTTTCCCTTTATAACCACATCCAGTTTTCTTCCTCTCATCCTTAACCTCTGGCAACCAGTAATTTGTTCTTTATTTTTACAGTTTTGTCATTTCAAGAATGATATATAAATGGAATCATACAGTATGTAACTGTTGGGACTGACATTTTTTTTTCCCTTGGCATATTTCTCTGGAGTTCATCCAAGTTGTATGTGACTATAGTTCATTATTTTTATTTTATTTTTTATTTTAAATATATTTTACTGATTATGCTATTACAGTTATCCCATTTTATCCTCCCCTTTATCCCTCTCAGCCCTGCACACCCCCTCACTACTCCCTGCTCCAGCATTCCCCTGCCCCTTAATTCATGTCCATGGGTCATATATATGTAAGTTCTTTGGCTTCTCTATTTCCTATGCTGTTCTTAACCTCACCCTGTCTATTTAGTACCTACTAATTATGTGTCTTAACTCCCTATACCTTTTCCAACATTCTCCCCTATCCCCCTCCCTGCTGATAAACCTCCATGTGATCTCCATTTCTGTGATTCTGCTCCGGTCCTGTTTCTGTGATTGTTCCTGTTCTGTGATTCTGATTCCGTTCCTGTTGTTTGCTTAGTTTGTTCTTTGTCTTTGTTTTTTTAGGTTCAGCTGTTGATAGCTGTGAGTTTGTTGTCATTTCATTGTTCATAGTTTTGATCTTTTTCTTTTTCTTAGATAAGTCCCTTTAACATTTCATATAATAAGGGCTTGGTGATGATGAACTCCTTTAACTTTACCTTATCTGGAAAGCACTTTATCTGCCCTTTCATTCTAAATGATGGCTTTGCTGGATAGAGGAAACTTGGATGTAGGTCCTTGTCTTTCATGACTGAATACTTTTTTCTAGTCCCTTCTTTACTGTAAGGTTTCTTTTGAGAAATCAGCTGATAGTCTTATGGGAACTCCTTTGTAGGTAACTCTCTCCTTTTCTTTTGCTTCTTTTAAGATTCTCTCCTTACCGTTGATCTTAGGTGATCTAATTATGATGTGCCTTGGTCTGTTCCTCCTTGGAGTCAACTTCTTTGGAGCTCTCTGAGCTTCCTGGACTTGCATGTCTATTTTCTTGGCCAGATTGGAGAAGTTTTCCTTCATTATTTTTTCAAATAAGTTTTCAGTTTCTTGCTCTTTCTCTTCTTCTGGCACCCCTATAATTTGGATGTTGGAACATTTAAAGTTGTCCCAGAGGTTCCTAGGCCTCTACTCATTTTTTTTTTTAATTCTTACTCCTTCATTCTGTTCTGGTTGAATATTTATTTCTGTTTTCTATATGCAGGCAGTGATTTGAGTCCCAGTTTCCTTCCCTTCACTGTTGGTTTCCTGTATATTTTCCTTTATTTCACTTTGTATAGCCTTCACTTTTTCCTCCATACTCAACCAATTTTGTGAGCATCCTGATTACCTGTGTTTTGAACTGTGCCTCTGATAGGTTGGCTATCTCCTCGTTTCTTAGTTCTTTTTCTGGAGCTTTGATCTGTTCTTTCACTTGGGTCATATTTCTTTGTCTTGGTGCAGCTGTTACATTGTAAGGGGCAGAGCCTTAGGTATTCGCCAGGGCGGAACAACTCACTTTGCTGTGTTGTGGCACTGTATGGGGGGGGGGGGAAGCATCAAAGAGGGAACAATGCCACTTGCTCAGCTTTTGCCTCACTTTCAGTCACTTTACCTGCTACCCACAAGGGAATTGGGCCCTTCTGGTGCTAATTCCCAGGTGGGTGGGTTGTGTACATTCTACGACCCTGTGGGTCTTCCAACGGACTCTCCTGTGAGATTGGGTATTTCTCCAGCTGCCACAACCATCACAGGTTTTTACAGCTAGAGGTTTGAGACTTATTTCTCTGTGCTGGAGCCCTGGATTGTACCATCTGTCTCTCTCCCCAGTTGTTCCTTCTGGTTTATCTGCATGCAAATATGGGACCACCCAGTCTGCCAGCTGCCACCTTGCTGTGTGCCCTCTCTGCCCCTGCTGCCCATCTCTGCCCCCTTCCCCACCAGTCTGGATGATGTTTCATCTTTAACTTTTTGGTTGTTGGACTTCCATAGAGCTCAATATTCTGGCAGTTCTGGTTGTTTTTAAATTTGTTGTTGTTCTTCTTTTGGTTGTATGAATCTGCCTGTGCCTCCATCTTGGACAGAAGTCATTCTTTTTACTTTTTAAGATTGCATTTATTTATTTATTTATTTTTAGAGAGAGGGGAAGGGAAGGAGAAAGGGAAGGAGAGAAACATTGATGTGAGAAAGAAACATTGATGGGTTGCCTCTCATACATGCCACAACCAGGGACCGAACATAACCATGTGCCCTGACCAGGAATCAAACTGGCTAACGGTCCCACTTAGCGGGATGACACCCAACCAACTGAGCCACACCAGTCAGCACTATAGTTCATTCTTTTAGAGTTCATTCTCTATAGTTCACTAGTATTTTATGGTACCATGCTTTGCTTAATCATTCACCTATTGAAGATCATCTGTGTTGTTTCCAGTTTTTGGCTACTACAAATAGAGATGCTATGAACATTCATGTATAGGTATTTGTGCCAACATAAAGTTCTATTTCTTTAGGGTAAATATACAAGTGTGTGATTGTTCAGTTGAATGCTAATTGAATGTTTATTTTTATAAGAAACTGCCAAAGTACTTTACAGGGTATTTGTACCATTACACATTCTCATCAGCAATGTGTGAGTGATCCAGTTTCTCTACATTCTCACTAGCATTTGGAGTTGTCACAATTTTTTACTTTAGTCATTCTGATAGGTGTGTAGAGGCATCCTATCATCATAATTTATATTTGTATTTCTCTAATGGCTAATGATGTTCAACTTACTTATTATGTACTTTCTCATTGATGAAATGTTTGTTCATGACTTTTGCCCATTTTCTAATTGAATTTTTTGTTTTCTTTTTGATGAGTTTCAAGTGTTTTTTAAACAAAATATTCTATATATGTGAACTTTGTCAGATATGTGGTTTCCAAATATTTTCTCCCAGTGTGTAGTATCCCTTTTAATTCTCTTAACAGTGTCTTTCTCAGAGAAAGTTTTAATTTTGATGAGGTCTAATTTGTCCATTTTTCCTATGGTTGTGCTTTTGGTGTTGTCTAAGAGTACTTCTCTTAGTCCTAGATCCTGATTATTTTCTTTTATTTTGTTAAATCCTCACCTGAGGGAATTTTTTCATTATTTTTAGAGAGAGAGGAAGGGAGAGAGAGATGTAGAGAGGAAGAAACATTGATATGAGAGACAAACATCAATTGGTTGTCTTCTTGTATGTGCCCTGACAGGGAATCTAAGCTGCAGCCTTTCAGTCTAGAGGATGACGCTCCAACCAAATGAGCCACACTGGCCAGGGCATATTTTATCCTCTTAAAAAAAACAAACAGAGTTTTATGGTCTATAGTATATCTATAATCTGTTGTATAAGGTATATTTTTTGCTATTTCTTGAAAAGGCTGTTCTTTCTCCATTGCCTTACTATATTGAAATGTTAGTCTTAATTAGCCACACCGACCTAGCAAGACTTTTAATGCATTTTTTTCTCATCATAGAGTGATTAAAAATAGAAACAACATTTGATTTTTTTTGTAAGATAATTTATTTTAGGAATCATTTTCCTAAATATGAAATGATTCTTAAATGAATCAAATAGGAAAAAAATTCCTATTTGAGAATGATAATCTTGTCCCTTTGTTTATACATTAAAAAGTAGGCTTTGGTGTGGTTATAGAATTACAAAAACATAGGAAGTTAGGAAAAAACACAGGAAAATGTAGAAATATGTAGAAAAATAAACAAAACATATAGGAAAATGTTAAGAAATGTAGAAAGTTAGAAAAAAGCAAAATGGGAATACCTAGTCCATAGGTTTCAAACAAAGTTTAAAAAACAAAATAAGAAGGAAAGAACTAGAAAAGAACTAGAAAAGGACTTCAGCTGCAACTCCATCATTTTTTTTTTTTTTAACCAGGTTACCTTGGACTGCTTTCCAGTCTGTAAAGGGGATCAACAGTTTCTTCTTCACAGATTTCTTGTGATAAGTAACATCTTACACTTAAAGCTTCCTGCCCAGGTCCTGCAGCACTCCCCTCCAGGCCCCCCGAGAAAGATGGAAGAGAAAGACTCTTTCTCCTGGGAACTTCTCTGTTCTCCTGAGGCCACAGGAGGTTGGCCTTAGAGGCATATGTAGGGAGCTGAGCAGCTGGTGAATGAAGAGCTTGGTTTAGCATGCTGGATGGAGGGATGGGGATGCCAAAATGAGATTCTCACCCCTCCCCCAACACAGCACACCCACCATCCATGAGCTCTGGCTGTACAAAGATCAGTGACGTAAATGATTAGGAAAAGCCTGCTTAGCTTCTTCCTGTTACCACTGTACCTAGGGTGCTCCTTGATGGAGATTAGGGGATGGCAGCTTTGTCAGAGGGACAGACATTTAAATTTCAGCTTTGGTTCAAAGGACCATTTCTAAGAAGAGAGGGAGGAGAAGAAGAAGAGGGACCAGCCTTATCACCCCCACCTGCAAAGCATTCTGTTGCGTGCTTTCCTATGAGTCTGTGCCTTTTCAAGTCACAGGGCTCGCTATTGCTTCTAGTGATTTTCCCTCATCAGAAAGGTGGTGTTCCCCATTAGAAACAGCTCTGGTCCTGGAATCAGATCCAACTTTGCATGTGGCAGCTGGAGAAGGAAAGACATGAATCATGAGGCAAAAAAAAGTTGTTAACCTACTTTCCCAGGTGGAGGGGAGAGCAGACAATGGACAACAGCTGGGCATAGGTAGCTCTCTGCAACAGTGCACACCCAGCTGAGAGGGAGGTGCCATTCTCATGGTTCTTTTGTTTATTCATTTATTTATTCACTTAGCTTGTTATTTGGGAGTTTATTTATTTTTTTAATCTTTCTTTGAGAATCAACTAGCCAACCCAGCCAGCCCTCTAATGAACATCTATTTAGCTTCTCTTCTGTGCCTAGGCCTGGCGACATAGGTGATGAAACATGATTCCTTGTGCTTTAGAGGGGCTGGACTGGGACTGGGCCAGAGTGGCAAGTGCTGGCCCAGACATGCTTCTGGAAAGTGCAGGAGCTCTGCCATATGTGTATCTTTGCAGGCATGGGCCCAGTGTCTGTGACTCTGGCCAGTGCACTGTAGGCCAGGGGTGAAGCTCTGTCAGAGGAGGAAATCTGGTCCCTCTTGTCCCTGGCTGCTCAGCAGCTCCTGGAAGACCTCTGTGAGGGTAAGAGGGTTTGTTTGGGACATTTGAGTTGTGGGCATGGGAGGTGGTGTGGTGAATGTGAAGCTTCCCAAACAAATACATTTCTGGGTGCTGCTTCTAGATCAGTCCAAAGCATTATAATAAGGTAATTGCCATCCACTATGGAGCTTCACTGGGGAGGCAAGTCTGTCTTGGATTCATGGCCTATGGCGGAGTTGAAAGAAAGGCATTGTTTCTGCCTGGTAGTGCAGCTTCCTGGGCATGGCGGCTAGGGAGAGAGTACCTGCGGTGCTATGGCCTCTTCCAGCACTTGGGCAGTCTGGACATAACCAGAGACAAGAGGCCAGGGCAGCCCCTACACTGTCCCCTGCAAGATGCTGCACCAGCTTGTATCCCATTAGGGAGAGAACTCACACAACTCCGTGGTTTAAACAGGGAAGGTTAATATAAAGAATCATTAAACTCCAATAGAAGAGGGACTCTCTTACATGGGAGACTCTACACAGTCCTCTAGGGCTACGGGCAGTCCCAGTGGCAAACAAACTTTGGAAGAAAGCCCCCTTCCCTGGTGCAGATCCAGAGATGTGCCTGCAGCCCATGATGACAGTGAAGTTCGCTGCTCTGTCTGGCCATAGTTGACCTGCGGTCACTGGACAGCAGGGCACAGGCAGTAGCCAATGACCACCTGAGTGGCGTCAGGTGCCAGTGAGCCAGAGCTGCAGAGTTGGTGCAGGTGGGAGGCCTGGAGCCCGCAACATCTATGTAGACAGGGTGACCACACTTGGCAAGACAGAACCCACAGGTGTCCAAGGGACTGGGCATCCTGTGTGGATGTTGGCACAAAGCATCACCAGGTGTCCTCACCCACATGCTGACCCCCAAGAAACAGCTGTGTCTCCCCAGCTACTGAGAAAGTTGTACGTGGTGTTCACTGTAAAGGTAAGATGCTTAAGGGACTGAACAGGTACTAAAAGATGGATTTGTAGCTGAGATATTAAATTGACAACTGCAACGAGCACTGAGTCCCTATATTCAGATGTAAACTCAGAAGTTACGTGTTTGGGAGCTGCCAGACTGCAGTGGACACCCCAACAGGTGCGATCACACATGTGCAGTCTGGGTGAAGCATGGTAACATACAGAGATGAAGGGAGACCGTGCAACTGCATCTTCAGCCCCATCATTTCCTTGATGACATATCTTCACTCCTCTTCCCTACCTTGGAGGTTCTGATGCCCAGAAAACCTGCTGCCAGGGTCTCTGGTCTCATTCCAGAGAACTCGAGCTTATGCCAGTTTCTAAGTGGGCCCAACTTCTCTTTACATTTTTCCTTGAGACTCTTGGGCCACTGAAGAATTTGGATGCAGGTATTGGCCACAGCTGTTACTGTCTTTTGTGACACATGCTCCTGTGCATGCATTCATCACAGCTGAACGTGTTTCATTTCATGTTTGTCCTGGGTCAGCTCACAGTCCACCCCAGAGGGAGTACTGTAAGGCCTCTACTGGCCATAGCCCCCCCAGATGGCCAGCCAAAGAGCGGTTCTGTCTCTACACCCCATCACTGCTTTGGTTTCAGGCTCCTTGGACTATGTGGTCTGCCCCTGGTCAATCTTGCTGTCTGTGTTTGGAAGTCTTTCTTTCCAAGGCCGTATGCTTTCAAGGCCCTTGAACTGCTACAACAACAGAGCAACAACGAACAGCCTGATGCATCTCAGGTAAGGCACGTGGTGTCTATGTGTCCTGACTGGGCCTGTCCTCTGGGAAAGGCCTGGTCATAGGTCATCCCAACTCGCATCTCCCAAGTCAGCCCTGTTGAATTCTGAGGCAGAATGTGTTGAAAGAATGTTATTCCCAGGCTTTCTTGCCATCCATTTATTAGCTCTTAGATGAGAATAAGTCATCATCCCTGTATCCCAATTTCTACACCTGTAAAGTGGGGTTCATATGGCCTAATCTACTAGTTTATTGTGAATATTCATGAAATGTTGGAAAAGCTGTGGCTAAATGGTCTGGCATGCTGGTAGAATTGGCAGCATGTAGCAAAAACCTTAAAAAGGACTCAACAAACCCTTGACTAGGAACTATCCTAGAACATGAGTAAAATTGATTTAGTTACAATGTTTATTTTATTTTATTGACATTACTGATAAACTAGAAACAAGTTAATTTCCAGTGAGACTGAATATGAAACAAGACAGTATTAAAATGAATCTGTACAAACTAATTTAATCACCTTAAAAGAAATTAAATATGTGCACATACAATGTATTCTAATTGTATACACACATGCACATGCACACACACATCTAAAAATGTATACACTGAACTGTCTACAGTGATTATTTCTGGGTAGTGTCAGTGGTGATTTTTGTTTTGCCATAGATATGCTTCTGTTTCTGAATAGCAAAAATTCTACTAGACATTACTTTCAATTTTAAAAGGAAGAATATCTAAGGAGAGAATAATGGAAGGCAGGCACCAATACTGAGCAGGGCACAGTGGGTGTTTAATCGATGAATTCTGTTCCTTTGTCCTTGTCCTTCCATGGGAAAAGTGCAGATCTGGAAATTCTGTTCTTCTCAGGTGCATTCTGGAACAGAGGCTGCTTTTCCTTTGGGCTCAGCAAGTAGGGTCTTGGTGGCTTCCAGGATTAGTTTGTTTTGGCCCATGTGTCTCCAAGTCAGATCACAACAGTGAAAGCACCAGAGCTCCATTTGCCGTGGCTCTAACTTTATCACCTCACCAGCAGTTGCCCTAGCACTACATGTTCCTATACCCTTTCCTTTACTGCCTGGATCCCATGGGTGATTGCCTGGATTCCCTTGTCTAACACAGACTCGGGTGTCTCTCAGGTTCACTCTATTTAGGTGAACTCTATTTATTCACTCTATTTAAACCCACATCATGTTACCTCCTACACTCTGGACTCAGCTAAGATGCCATATCCTGAGCCATGGCTCTGACTCTCTGCTGCCTATTAAAAGGGCCTGCTGATGAAAGGGGAAGCTAGGTTCTATGGTGTGAACCTTAACCAATAGAGAAATAAGAGGTAGGAACAAACTGAGAAGGTAAATTCTCCCTTCTTTTTTTCCTCCTGGACTGTTTTGAGACAGATAAGTCTTTCAAACCTTACAGAGAAGTCCTGAGTGCTAGATGGTTGGCACAATTACCCTCATATCACATCTGCCTTTGTTTTCCTTTCCCTTTTCTTCTTACTCTCATTGCCCTGGGCTTATAGCTCCTGGAAGAAATGTCAGAATTTAATCCTTGCCTCAGGCTCTGCTTTCCACAGAACCTGAGCTGAGACAGATCTTGAATGCTCTTGGGGCCCTTTCTTGTTCATCTCAGAACTCACTGGTGAGGAACAGACATGACCCTCCTGACTATAATCTGGCTCCCACTGAGTGATTTATGAAGGTGTAGTCACTCCCTGCTCAGAGCACCTCTCAGCTGAGCTGAGCTGGAGAAACACATCCTCCTGCCTCCTGCACATGCTCCTCCATGCAGAAGAATGAGGGCTCCAAGAGTTCCATTGCTGAAACTAAGTTCCAAGCTTAGTTCCAAGCTTAGTTCCAAGCTAAGACCTGGGGAGGTATATTGCCAAGGGTCCAGGTCAGGAAGATAAGGTGTGTTAGAACTGAGAGAGTCAGTGTGGGGAGGGACAGAATCCTGAATGAACCAAGCAGAGATTTTTTGTTGGTGGTTTAACTCTCCGGGCCTATGAAACATGGCACATGAGAATGTAGCTTAAGGGGCAGATGCCACTAGTTTCAAAAACCCTGTTCTCTCTCTTACAGTATCTCTACCACTAAGTTCTGTTAATTGCTGTTCTCTTCCATTTATCAGGGGCTCCTCTCTTCATCCAACTTGGCTTGGTTCCTGTGTGGGGTAGAGTGGGCATTTACGAAAGTAGTCTCAGGAGGCACTGTGCCCAGACTCCTCTACTAGCCCTGGACCCTCTTCTGAGGTTAGAATGGTGTACCCTGACTCTTTTCTCAGGCCAAAATTCAGCTCTAACCAGCATACTGAAACATTCCCCTCCTTGCTTGAAGTGTTAATCCCAGGTGCAGGTAGAAGGTATGGACAGGTCTCTCACTACAAGTCACGCATGCCTCCATCACCTCATCCCATGCTCATGGCAGACATCACCAGTGGATCATGGCGTTCTTCCACACGGATCCAGGAGTTGCATTCAAAATCCTTCTCACCACCCTTCTTCAGATAGAGTCTGCCACTAGGCTGGATTTGGGATTGGGGATGACGTCTGCTGTCATTGAGGCACTAGGCCTTGCCTAAGAAACTTTATGATAGAGCCCATGGAATCCAGGTAAATTATCAGATACAGATGCTCTGATGCTGCTCTGGCATCTGCTTTCAGGATTATTTCTCTAGAAATGAGGGTACAGTTTGTGAACTTCCTGGCAGGTGTCTAGTCACATTCATCAGAGGGGTTATTGGCTGGTTTAAGGGTACAATTTTAAGCAAAGTACAGAGTTAATTGGCACATGTGACACTGGACACATGCCCTTGATGTAGAGATGTAAAAACCAAAACCAAACCCATTTGTATTAAACTCGGTGGATTGCTCAAGTAACCGTGCTTTTTTTTCACAAACCAAGTTTTGTTAATTCAATGTCTATCTCCCTTCCAAAGTCCCAAAAGTCATGGCCTTAAAGATAAGATCTTAAGGGGAATATACCTCGTCAGTTATAATAGAAGCCCAATAATAATAATAACAACAATAATAATGATAATGATAAAATATTTATTCAGAGACAAATGTATTTAAAAAGTAAATAAATTTAAAAAAAATAAATAAAATATTTATTCAGGACTTAATATGATCCAGAAACAACATAGCCGAGTGGCTCAGGACAGAAACTCTGGAGACTGGATCATGTTTAGGCTTTAGGTCTTACCTGGACATGTTCCCTAACTGGTCTTTGCTTTAGTTTCCGTCTATGTAAAAGGGGACAATTAAAATACCTCATAGCATTGTGGTGAGAACTAAGTAAATTAATATAAGGAAAAGATTTAGAGCAAGGCTTGGTATAAGTGTTCTCTGCCAAATAATAACAATAATAATTATTATTACCATCTCCAGGTACCTTTTACTCAATCCTCAGGAGTATTCAGGCAGAATAGTCCTTTTAAAGATGAGGAAACTGAGGCTCAGAGGATTCAAATAAAGTTCTCCCATTATACCATATTGCTTTCTGACAACAAATGATGCTTTTAAACCATAGTGTATCATGTACAGATGGCTTTGGCTACAAGAAACATAAAGCCTAAAATACAGTGGCTGGAACCACAGATATAGTTGCTATTATTTGCTTAACAAGAAGTCTCGGGATTGGTCAGCAGCTCAGGAAATGTCATCAAGAATCCAGGCTGTATGTTTCTATTCTATTCTCTTTAGCTGCTTGTTTTTTGTTCTTATACTTTTTGCCTCATGGTCACAAGATGGCTGCTGGGATTCCATGTTTGACATCAGTTCTTCAAAGCAGGAATAGGGAGGAGAGGATGGGAGAAGTCACATGCATTCTCATTGTCAGTAAAGCAAAAGTTTCTCAGAAGCTCCCTAACAAACTTTCCTTCGTCTTTTGCCAAAATTGGGTATCTTGGTCACCGTGACTTTTAGCCACTAGAGCAGAAGGCAGCAAAATTTTAAGAGAGTTGCAGATGGTCATTGGGTTAGCCAGCCAGCAGTGCCTGCCACATGTGGAAATGGAATTGTGTTTTGGACCATAGAATAACAGAGGTGACTAAAATCTAATCATGTGCCTTTTCTCTTGTACAGATGCACATCTATTCTTTAGGAATGACCCTCTACTGGTCAGCAGGGTTTCACATTCCACCAAATCAGGTCTGCAACCAAGATACTCAAAGTCTTCCCAGGTCGTGTCTTTGGATTTACTTAGCATTCTTTTTTCTAGGGCAGGGACTATGTCTACTTAGCTGTGTGCCACCGCTCTGTCCTCCTAGGTTCTAGGAAGACATTGCCAATGGATTACAGAACTGTTCTTTCTGAGTCCAGAGACAACCTCTGAGTCCTACTCATGGCACTATAGACAGCTGCAATTTAGAGCTGGCAAGCAAGATAAGGCTTATTTACCACCTCTGATCAGAGGAAGTAGCAAGCTAGAGGATTTGATGGCTCCTGAAAACACAGATTTATAAAACAGGCTTTAAAGCAGTTCTTGAAGTGAGATGCTTCCCTGAAAAAGGGTTTTGTGCTGAATTGATTTGGGAAAATGCCCCCTACAATATCTTTCTCTAAAAGATTTTTCAGAGTAGCTTATTAAAGCATATAAATTTTTAACTGTATCATAGAATTTCACAAATATTTTGACTATGGAATTTGTATGAGTATGTAAATTTTCATCTGACAATATAAGAAACCAGTGTAACAAGAGCACATGTTGGAGAACTCTTTCCTTCCTCCCTCCCTCCCTCCCTCCCTCCATTCCTTCCTTCCTTCCAACTTCTGTCTCACCCTTCTCTAGTTCAATATTCCAATGCTTCCTTGTGCCGTTTCTAAAACAGGCACCTGCTCATGTCCTTCCTCCTGTGAAATTTTTGTAGCTCCTCACTACGCACAAGATTACATTATACTTTCCAGAAGGGCACATCTGGAGCCCAGAATTGGGTTCCCATCTGTGTTTCTTTTCCCCTCTCTGGTATTCTGCCATAATCAGGGATAGTTTCATGGGCATGTGGCCTGCATAATAGCACAGCGCCCTGCACTTATAAGCACCCTATGCTTGATTTAATGCTCTGTTGTCACTGTGTTGAAATTCTGAATATCTTTGAACAAGGGGCCCTGGACCTGGCCCATAGCTCCTTTCCTTTCAGACATATGCTGACCTTTGCACACACTGTTCCCTCCATTAAGTCTGATGACATTAAGTTCAGCAAAAAATTATTGACCGTGTGCTGACTGCTGAAGATTCCAAAATGAAAAACCCACTGTCCTTATGCTCCTGAAACTCACATTCTAGTAGAAAGGCCCAATGAGACCCACCTAAATAATCTGAGATAAATCACAGGCTGTCTAGTTGGATGTAATTTAAAGGCTGGTTGAGCCCTGGTTTGGTCTGGGTGCTTGGCATAGGTGGAGATCCAATCGGTCAACTGCTTACTTTTCATAAGTATCCCAAGCACATGTGTGGGCTCTGTGTCATAGCTGGTGCGGTGACAATTGCTCTGTATTTGGTGGCCTGAGTGATTATCTTGTGTCCATCCCCAAACTCTCCAGAAGGAGCAGGCCTCTCTCAAGGGGTCGTGAGAACATGTGTTTCTGTTGTCTCCACTGCACACCTGCAGGAACTGTCTGCAGGGCAGCAGCTCTCCAGCTAGCTCATGGCTTGTGCAGTGCCCTGCTCCCCAGCCCCTGCCTCTCCGGGAGCCCCTGCACTCTCTCCTGCTGACCATGTGTGAAGAGCAGCCCGGCAGGCGGCTGCCGCTGCTGTCGGTTCTGGAAGCCTGCTGGGTTCATCGGGAAGAAGGGGCTGCACACCCAGCCTCTGCCAGTGTCCACCTCAGACGGCTGGTTGGCTTGGTTCTAGGCACCATCTCCAAGGTCAGTGTAACTCTCTGCTTTCCACACCAGGAGCCATTAGTTACATGTGGCTGTTGAAATTTAAGTTAGTTAAAATATAGTTAATTGAAGTGAAATAAAATTAAAAATTCAGTTCCTCAGTTTTACCTGTCACATTCAAGTGCTCAGCTACAAGCATCACATGTAACTGGTGATGGCCATTCTACACAGGGCAGATCTAGAGCATTACTGTCAACACAGTTTTATTGGACAGTGCTTGCAAAGACCTTAGGGCAAGCCAAACTCCTCTTGTGGCTAAGACCATGGGGATCTTGGAAAGAGCCTTTTTACATAAAAACAATCATGTTTATAATCCATGAGTCAGTTTGTCTATCAAAATTAAACTCTAAGCCTCTTGTAAGAAAGTCTTCCCTGACCATGCCTACATGGTCCCCCTAGCTCCCCTCCACTGTTTTGTATCTGCAGGGGGTCTTCTTGATGTGCTTATCACATTGTGCCACTTGCTGCATTGTATCCTCCCCAGCACCTAGCAAGGGACCTGGCCCATACTAGTCATTTGACTTGGGCTAGGTTTCCTTGAAGCAAAACCAGAGATGAATTTTTATGAAAATGACTTATTGGAAAAGTGCTCCTGGGAGTGATGGAAGGAGAACAGGAAGGGAGACAAGCCAAGCAAGGAGGTTGTCTCAGGTAGAGACAGCCTCAGGGTGATCCCATGGGGAGCTCTGGAGCAGGAAGTGTACCTGCATAGGGCCCCCTCAAGGCCAGGGCAGAGCTGGGACTAGGTTGAGGCAAGTGAGGTGCCCAAGTTATAAAGATGCAAAGAGGTTAGCATCTTGGAGGAACCAGTGGAGGCTGGGCCACCCTGCACTTATATAGGAGAGAAACTGGAGAACTGAGACCATAACTAATGCAGGAGTCGTGGATAAAGAGAGGGCCGTTGTGGACAAGGGGACACTATCAACAATCAATTAGAAAATGTCTCTCTCATCCTGTTTTCCTCCTTGGATCCCTGCTCTCTTGGCATGTGGACATGTTGCTCCTATTTGTTGAGCCAGATGATTTGGTTGGGAAGGGGTCTATTTGTTTCAAAGACATTAGAGCATGCCATCCTTTGGTGTCTGATTGTCCTGGGATGGATACTGAATTGACCTAGAGCATTTTCATCAGGGAATCATAAGGTAGATTTTGGTCCCTAACTGGACATTCATTGGGGCTGAACTAGGTGGGCTACAATGGGGCATACAGCACACAGTGAGGGTGGGGGAGCCAAATAAGCAAGCGAAGGTGATATAATGGGGTGAAATAGAGGGAGTTGTGAGTATAGAGATGAAGGAAGGTGCTGAGAAGACATTTACATCTGCCTGAGAGCAGAGGTGGAGAGGGCTAGAAGTAGAGAGGGCATAGCTCTGGGTCTTGGAGGCACAGAGGACCTCAACAGGGAGGTCCCAAGCAGTGGAGGGAGAGCTGGGGCAAAAGTATAGATTGCATTAAGTACACAGGTAATGGGGAGGAATTACCTTTAGGGTGTGTGTGAATGATGGGTATAGGGTTTGTCTGGGTGCTAGGGAATGCATTGTTAGGCTCTCACTGTGTGCGACAGACACTGCCACACTGACTCAAACTGAGAGCTTAGTCTGTATGTATCTATATAAATGTCCTCTTCAACCTTGGGATACCAATGTGTGATATACTTGACCTTCAGGTGGAGAGGAGAGTTGTGGAAGAAATCTCCTCTGTGCAGCAGGACAGGAGCTACCTGTTCAGGAATAGGCTACACCAGACGAGCTGTGAGAGTCCAACAGCACGGACCTCAGAGGGTCTGCATCCCTTCAGAGGTGGGTCAATGCCTTGAGCAGTGCCTGGGTGGGCCACTGCAGTCCATTTGCTGCCCTGTGTGGGCCAGATGTCCATGCTGTGGTGCTAGAGAATGCTCGTGCAAACTCAACTCTTCCAGGAAGCCCCTGAAGAGAAGGGGCTGAGCTTAGACCTCCTCTGTGTCCTGAAGAAAGCTTCATCTGGAAGCACAATTTAACAGAGATATTTATATCATGTAAACTTATTGAGCTCTAGTAGTTCAAGTTGGTAAAACAATTTAAAACAAACAACATAGAAGAAAAGTTTCTTTAATTAGTTTCTGGGTAGAGGGAAAGGAAAAATAATTTGTAAAATATTGTGTCTATTGTTGCTCTAGGTGTGTTAAAAGAATGAACTTTAGAATAATCTTTAAATCTGTTTTCTATTTTTCAACTTTTCAACTGAGATTTAAAATAACAAAATTCAATAGTTTTTATTGTCTCTAAAACAAGGTGGTGTTTGCTGTTAGGCTTTATCTTTCCCTTAGAACCTCTGCCAACCCTTTGTCATTTTCATTTTCCATGAAACAGACTCAGAAAGGTTAAGTAATTTTGCCAAGGTCACATAGCCAGTAAGTCAGGATGCTGATGTCCACACTCTAGTCTGCCTGATTCAAGAAAGGAGGGCAGGTGGCCCAGCTTTTTGTCTTTGCTCATGCCTTCCACTATGCTGTTTGGTTAGTTTCAGAGAGAAGCATAGAGATCCAGATTTCTCTGGAGCCCAGTCCAAGCACCTCAGCACATGGGCACTGCAACCTCCCTGTTAACAGGTAAACAGCAAGGTGTACAGGGCTGTGAACTTGGTGTGGGAAATGGGGTAGGGTTGGGGGTGTAACCTACTTCTTTACTCACTACTGATGAGAAGCCTCTTGCTTCTCCAGAAGAAGCTGACCCAATTCTGCTAGTAGGTGCAAAAGCCACATTTATCAGGTACCAAGCCAAGGTGATAAGGGGGCTGGTGGTAGCTATGCTGTCACAGCATCTGTCTCCTCTAGGAACTAAGATCAGGCCTCAGTTATGGAACAACAACGTGCTTCCACGTTCTTGTGATTATCCGTTGCCACATGAAGCTGTGTAATAGCCACAAATCACAGTGGCTGAAAACAATGACTGATTTAGCTTTTAATTCTGTGAGTTGGGAGTTTAGGCTGTGCTCAGGTGGGAGGTTCTTTTGGACTGTGCTGGATACCATTGTGCACCTGTGATCAGCTGCTTCTGGGGGTGGCTGGCTGTTGTCTTGGAGATCCTGGCTCTTTACCAGAAGGCTAGGCCATGACTGTCAGATACAGAGAGAGAAGAGAAGAGAAAAAAAGAGAAAGAAAAGAGAAGAGAAGAGAAGAGAAGAGAAGAGAAGAGAAGAGAAGAGAAGGGGCACAGAACTTTCAGAACTAGTCTTCCACCACTTTTACCTCATTGTATTGGCCAAAGCAAGCCTCAGACCACCCTGGATTCAAGAGGTGGGGAATGGAGTCCACCTACTGATGGGAGGAGGGACAAAGTCATACCACAGCCTTAACTTCTCTAGGCCTCAGCTTCCTCATTTGAAAGTGGATATAGTGCCTCCTCCATAGGTGAAGGGTGAAGATGAAGTGGTGAACACACCCTGGCCCGCTGAACACCTACCTGCAAGTGGCGGGCTTTTAGTAGCTGGAGGCCATTTCCACTGTTAATTGTTCCTCCTCTTTGCCCACTGGCTGGCCAGTGTTCTTCCAGCTGAAGCTCCCCAGGACCTTCAGGAGTGCAGGCAGCCCAGCTCCAGATCCACTGTCTCTGTGGCAGCTCATAGCTCATGGCCAGAAACTCCTTCTCAAAAGGATTTCCTGCAAAGAAAAGGAAAGGTGAGCAAGAGGAAACCGAAGAATTGAGACTCCTAAAGAGGTTTGAATGGGGAATGGTGGGTGGCCAATGTAGCAGCTGAAAATGTGCTGGGTCCTCTTGGGATGCCCGGCTTTCTGGGCTGAGATTTCTAGAATTGAACTAAAAAACTCTGATACCTTCAGTTCAGGGCATTAGATGTTCATTGAATAGCCTTGCTGTAGTAGATGGTGTGTAGGATAGAAAGTTGATGACAATGTCCCTTTGATGTGGCATATGAAACAGCATGCCGCAGTGCTGGAGGAGGGCATCCTGAACCCCGAAACAACGGTGGTGGCCATCTTTCCGTCTCCCATGATGTATGCGGGGCCAACTGAGGTCCAGTGGCATTGCAGAGCACGCATGGTCGCAGGAGCCAACTTTTACATTGTTGGACGAGACCCCGCTGGCGTGCCGCACCCAGAAACAGGGAAGGATCTCTATGAGCCGACTCATGGCGCCAAAGTGCTGACCATGGCCCCTGGCCTGATCACTTTGGAAATAGTTCCCTTTCGAGTCGCAGCGTACAACACAAAAAAGAAGCGTATGGACTACTATGACTCTGAACACCATGAAGACTTTGAATTTATATCAGGAACACGAATGCGCAAACTCGCTCGAGATGGCCAGAAGCCTCCCGACGGTTTCATGGCGCCCAAGGCCTGGGCTGTGCTTTTGCAATACTACAAATCCCCGGAGAAAGCCTAAGCTGCTTGTCAGTCCCTGCGTCTTTGACACTTCATGGAGTAACCAAGGGGACCACATGGCTACTGTTGGCATTTCTTTACGGTGGTGTCTGTCTGGACACTTTTCCTAAAAACACACCATTTTCCCTAACTAGCATCAGTCTTGGTCTGCCTATGAGTTCTGTTTTGAACTAGTGTAACACACTGCTGGTTTTAATGTCTCTCTTCCACTGATTATAGTTAGTATTCCTCTAATACAATTTTAAAATCTTGTCTTTTTATGTTTATGCTTCTGTCTCATGATTTCTCCAAGCTGTTATATTAGTTGTAACCAATAGTATACACACCGAATCTCATTTTTCATCCCTTGAAAAAAGGGAAAAAAAATCCACTAAACAATAAACTCGGCTAGACCTTGTTCTGGGACTTTTATAAAACATGTGTAGCGATTAGATTTCTTTTCTACATTGAAAACATAAACTGTTTCCTTCCTTTTGATCCGCTATTGATTTATTATCTGTTATAATTAAAGTATTCCTGTGATCTGTGTAAGCCCAGAATGAGCTTTCTTTATTCAATAAAATTAAACCTTTTGACTTAAAAAAGAAAAAAAAAAAAAAGAAAGTTGAAGGTGCCAGGTTTCACCGTTCAGGAAGTTGACAGCCAAGAGGGGGAGGTGGCAGAATGAGGTAGGTGATAAGAGAGCTGACAAGGCCCAATGTACTTGGAAGGGACCTTCTAAACTGATGGGAAATGCAGGGGCAAAGATGTGGGTGGGATGGACAGGGAGGAATCTCTGTTCTGGTTGGTACGTAGGGTAAGAGGGTTAAAGTTCCAGCTGATAGAGGGACAGATGACAGTGGCCCCTGCAATGTGCTCATGTCTGTGGGGACCCCCGTCTCCTTGGAGGCAGACTGGTCTCTACTGAAGGACCTGTGCTGGACAGTGAGATTGAGGTGGTCCCAGGATGCACCTTCTACCAGAAGAAGCCCTCAGAGCCACTTCCAATGTTTAGAAAAAAGCAGCCTGTCCTCAAGAGTGACACTGCCATCAGCTGAAAAACTGTTTTAATAACCACACAGCACTGGGGGAATAGCATTCCCTGGAGCTATGACTGGTCCCTTGGTTGGGGGAGGGCAGTTTCCTGAGGAGACTGCCTCCACCAGGCCTACTGTTGAGTATTTGACCCTTTGGTAATGTCAGACCCAGATACCCTGCTGGCTAGTGAGGCCCCGATGACTTTGCATCTGCCTGGATCAATTGTGGTAAGTGCTGGGTTAGACTGGGTAGGGGTAGAGGGTTCTGAGGGAACTGACTAGCTGGGCAGGAGCAGAAGCTGACTGAGATCTCAGCCTGGGAGGGTCCCCAGAGTGCTCATCCTGTCCTCCAGACTCCTACCAAAGCTCTCTACCAAGTCACACTCTTGCTTCATGTCCTTCAGCACTTCTTTTTCCCCTCTAAGGGAGACCTTCTGTAACTCTGGCTAAGTTCTGCTTGTCCTTTCAGACGCAGTTCAGGCTTCATCTTCTTATTCAGTCAGGAAATATTGTTTAAGCACCTAGAAAGTACCAGGCACTGTTCTAGACCCCAAATATGTGATGTGGACCAAACAGAGTCCTCTTTGTCTGGAGCTTATATTCTAGCAGTTACACATTTGTCTATTTTCTGGGGCAGAAAATTTCATCTCCTCTCTCTTGGCTCTGCTGGCCTAGCCCAGGCAGACTACAGACTCCCACAGGGGTTGTAGCCTCTGTGTGGAGAGGCACTGGTACCTGGATTCGGGGTGGTGAGAGGCTTGTCCCTGCTGGGTCACCCACAGAAAGAGCTCTGGTACTGCCAGCTCAGAATGGAGACAGCAGCTGCCATTCTCTTGTGAGGTGTTTTGGAGTGTGTGTGCCTGATTGGGAGGACCCTTTCTGAGCCAGCCCCTGCAGAGGAGGAACGTAGTGGTGGAATATGAAATGGTGGCCACCTTGGGTGTAGGGTGGTAGAGGTTTCAGAGTAGGGAGGGGGAGGGAGAGGCCAGGTAGGGTTTGGGGCACCAGGGAGCAGAAGAGTTAGTAGCCAGAACCCATTGCCAGTGGTGGGGAGTCAGGGCCATTGTGAGCCTAAGCTCCATGTGCTCCTTGAACCACACTCAGAAAACACATGTTCAAAGATATAATTATTAAAATGTCAAGAAGGCAACTATAGAGCAATTAAACCCAAGCACAGGGCCCTTCAAAGCATATGGGATGAGTCCCCTTGCCCCCCACCCCCCGCCTCTCTCTCTATGCCCTCCCCAAGTGGCCCCTGAACCCACATGTTAAATAACTGCTCAGGTGATTCAGGTGTGTAGCAAGGGCAGGAACCATGGTGGCTCAGACTGTGCCATGTGGTTAACTCTGCCTAGGATCTTGCAGAAATCCCACAGGGTCCTCAGATCTGCATTGGCCCCTGTAGTATCCAGAGGATTAGGTGTGGCATGGTCTCAATGGCACTGCATATGTCATTGTCCATCCATGGCTGTCCTCTAAGGAGAATTTCCCTGGGGTGGTCTGGGCCATGTCCCTTGCTAGGCTTTGGAGCAGAGAAAGGAGTGAGTGTCTTACTCTCCAGGCTACACTCAAGGGTCCTGAGCCTGACCTGGAAAGCTCCTAGGAACTTGCAGTGCAGGGATGGAGAGGAAGAGCACTCCAGGCAGTGGGTGGTGTCTCAGAGACACAGACTGATGGGGGAGGGGCAGGGATGGGGCCAGTGGAAGGTGTGCATTCTGGGCTGCTGAGCAGAGGCCATGGTGGTCAGGGTGAGGTTATGGTGGTGAATGAATCTGGAATTAATGTGACACAGGTAGAGAAGCAGAAGGCTGACTCCTACATGTTTTTGGATGGGGGTCTGCTGACCCATTTCTCAATGTGAAGTAATCCCCTTGCTCTAGCCCTCTCTTCACTGGATCCGTGCCAGTTCAAATTCACTCTGCTGTGTTCTGGGGAATCTAGGGGACAGTATAAGGTTGAGTGACACCTCCAGGGGTATATGATTTATTGCTAAAAGCTCTGGGCAGTCCTTTTGGAAGCAGAATCTGAGTGGCAGCTGGGCTTTCAGCAGGGGAGAGGCACCGGTGAGACATTCTTCCCTAGCCTTCCTGGCTCCTGCAGAGTCCAGCAAAAAGTGTGATTGGAATCCAGCTCTGCTGGTTACTAACTGTGCCACCATGAGTAAGTCCCTTACCATCACTGAGTCTCATTTCTCATGTCCTAAATAGTATTATAAACATACTCATTCTTAAGAGTCATATGTCAGTTAAATGAGACAATGTGTATAAAGTGTTTAGCATAGCAGCTAGCCCATGGTGAAGACTCCATGTCTCATAGTTACTGTTACAATTCATATTGTTACTGTTTTCAGACCAAAAAATGGAAATCCTGTTTGACTCTCAGGGACCTCTGTGTGGTACTTCTGAATGGACAGTGTCTGGAGGTGAAATGTGACATCACGTCCGCAGTAGGGGCCGTCTTCAATGCCGTCATGTCCTTCACCAACTTCGGGGAGCTCACCTACTTTGGTTTGACTTACATGAAAGGTAAGTGTCTCCTGTTAGCCCACAGCTGGCCTGGTGCCTCAGGTAACCCAGGCCTCTAGGTATCTGAGCATTATTACTTGTAAAAAAAATTGCAGAGGACTGCAATGAAATCATGCATGTAAGATCTTGTGGGTTTCTGTAATTTGCTGAAATCAAATCTGGTTCATTGATCTCAATGCACTGATAAGCAATTATTAAAAATGTTAAAATGTTAAAAGCATTTCTATCTAGGTGGGAATATAAAATGATATAGCCACTGTGAAAAATAGTATGGTGGTTCCTCAAAAAATTACTTTCCATATGACCTGGCAATTTTCCTTTTGCATACATACCCAAAATAATTGAAAACAGGTTTCTCAGAGATATTTGTACACCCATGTTTGCAGCAGCATTATTCACAGTAGTAGAATGTGGAAGCAACTCAAGTATCCATCAATGAATGAATGGATAAGCACAATGTATGTACATATAATTGAATATTATTCAGCCTTAAAAAAGAAGAAAATTCTGACACATGTTATAACATGGATGAAACTTGAGGATATTGTACTAAGTAAACTAGTTGCAAAAAAGACAAATACTATATGATCTCACTTATATATGTAGGTACCTAGAGTGGTCAAATTAATAGAAACAAAATAGAATGGTGGTTGCCAGGGGCTGGGAGAAGCAGGATGGGGATTTATTGTCTAATGGATATAGAGTTGCAGTTTTGCAAGATGAAAGCATCTGGAGATGAATGGCGGTGATGGTTTCTCAACAGCGTGAACGTACTTAACACTACTGAACTGTACACTTAACTATGGTTAAGATGGTAAATTTTATGTTATGTGTATTTTATCACAATAAAAAATTTTAAAATATTCATCTAATTGTTCAGTACTAATGGGAAGTCAGCACCCTTACCCTAAGTTAAGAATGTGTTCTGAAGATCCAAAGAAAAGGGTTTCTACACTCTTTTCATCTCTGCCCTTCCATTAAGGGACTCTTTATTTCCATCAGCCTCAAATGTCCTTTTGCTGTAGTTGAAGGCCTTTAACCACTGTGTGAAGTAATGGGAAAGGGGCTGAGCTGGGATCATGTGGGCCTTCAGGTTAAATCCTGGCTCCCACAGCCCACCTTGCTAGGTCTCATAATCTTGGTGTTTTCCTCTTCTTCCACCTCCAGTGGGAGAAGCTAATAAGCTTATTGTGGGATAATTCTGTGTGCCACAGGAGTTTAGGAGGGTGGCCTATCTCCCCATAGTTCTCAGCAGACCTGTGGAAGACATCTCTCCCAACTAAAAAGAGCAACCATTACATGTTTTGATGTGATCAATTGATGTTTCCTCAATTTTTAGAAAAATGTGAACAGAGGAATCTTAAGGAAACATTGTATTTTTATTGATCATGCCATGCAATCTAAATAAAACCAGTGAGTTTGCTCTGAGAGTACAACCTAGGGCTTACCCCCTACTGCCTCCTCCCAGACAGGCGCTGGCCCTAAGACCTCTTCCATTCAGACATATGAGAGCTGTTTAGCTGGGGCCTCCTGGGTAAATCACTCAAAAGTGACCACTGAATGGTTTGGCTGTAAACCCACTACAGAGGGTTTGCAAGCCAAACTGAAGCAGGGAACTACCATTCCCTGGGGAGAAGTTACACTGAGGGAAGAGGGAGTTGGTGTGGAGACTCACATTCAGTTGCAAGGAAGCAGGCATGGGGGGCAGGTTTAGATGAGGTTTCTTCAGTATTTTTTTAAAAATGGCATTTCCATCTTTATTTACCAAGATCTGGCACAAGAGCCTCTTGTGCCCCCTCCCTGATGTGGGTAGTAACTATGGTGAAAGTTAATTGACATATGCTTTAGGAAGCTATTTATCAGAATCATTATGTTCACTCGTGTCTTTTTTTGAAGCTGTACATCCCTAAAATGTTTCAAGCATTTACTTTTTGCTTTTATGTTGTTAATTGTTTTCATTAAATTAAACCTTTAATAAATCATTTTGCTAACTGGGAATTAATATATATGCCAAAATAAGACATTGGGCACTGTGTGGTGACTGTTATTTGAACTTCTCTGGACACCCGCTTTCCTCTCCCTATCATGCATATAATATATGCATTTGGAAGGGAAAGCTAATTACCCACTTAAAACCTTTGCCTCCCCAAACCTGGCAAGACTCCTGTGGCCAGGCAACCTGCTATAAGAGCATCTCTGTGCTGAGATGGTGGAGCGTGGAGAAGGCTGTGGGGTAGAGCAGGCCTGGGGCAGATCTGCAGGAGGCCAGGGCACACAGGCTGGGTGGACAGGGGGTCCATTTTCCTCAAAGAGAGCAGGGGTAAAGGCATGGCTGTCAGTGGCTGGGGCTGATTCGACCTCCTTCCCAGAGGTGCTGAGTACAAACTCAACAGGAACTGAAGTCTTAAACTTGGATTGGTGGAGTTTTCAAACTGGCAACATTCAGGTCAAAAGGCAAATGTAGCACCATTTATTCTGTGTCTTGGTCAGCTCAGGCTGCTAAAACAAAAACCCATATACTGGATAGCTTAAACAACAGATATTTACCTTTCACAGTTCTGGAGTCTGGGAAGTTTAAGACTAGAGTTTGTGTATAGTCAGGGTTAGGGATCTCTTCCTGGTTTACAGTCAAATTTTATTTTTAAATCATGTTTATTCTACTACAGTTGTCTTAATTTTTCCCTTTGCCCTCCTCCACCCATCCCACCCCACCCCCTGCTTCCACAGTCAATTCCCACTCTGTCGTCCATGTCCATGGGTCATTCATACATGTCCTTTGTCTAGTCCCTACCCCTTCTTTCCACCATTGTCCTCCTTCCCCATCCCCTCTGGTCACTTTCAGTCTGCTCCATGTTTCCATGCCTGTGGTTTATTTTCTTCATTTATTTTGTTGAATAGATTCCACTTATAGGTGAGATCATATGGTATTTGTCTTTCACCAACTGGCTTATTTCACTTAGCATAATATTCTCCAGTTCTGTCCATGTTGTTGCAAAAGATAGGAGTTCCTTCTTTCTCTTTTTTAAAAAAAAAATTCACATGGATTTTTAAATTTTTTTAATGTCAAGATCCATTATAAAATATTAAAAAATTTAAATCCATTCTAAAGTCTCAGCAATTAAAACAACATGACCCCATCATAGAAATAATCAAGTAGATCAATGAAATATAACGAGCATTCTAGAAACAAACATATATCTAACAATGTAATATGTGATTAAATTGCTATGTCAAATCAATGGGAAAAATAAGCTTTATTCAACAAATAAGGTGCATGGACCACTATTACTTAAAATAAATATAGAGCCCTATTTCACACATTATACAAGAAATATTCAGGTGAGTTAAAAATCAGTACGTAAAGTCTAAGGAGTTTTAGGAGAAAATACAAACTAATATTTTTCTTACCCTGAAGTAAAATATTCAAACCCAGAAGCTATGAAGGAAAATATTGACAAAATGATTATATTAAATATTTAAGACTATATAGTAATATACATATAAACAAAGTTAAAGGACAAGTAATAGAATAGGAAATTATTTGCAACACATCTAAAAAAGGGTTAATAGTTTTTTTTAAGGGAAAAAAATTCTACAAACATTTAATAAAAAAAATGGATAAGGAATACAAAAAAGCCATTTAAAGCTTTTTAAAAATAATAGAAATAGGCAAGAAGTATACAAAAACAGGTTTTGTTTCAACAAATAATAAAGTAATTAAAATAACACATCATTGTCACAATCTGATTAATAAGTATTGAAAATATTGGTAATATCAGGTATTGGCAACTGTGAAAGGAACTGGGTATTCATAGACTCTTTTTCTTCATCTTCTCTTTTTTTATAGCATAGTGGTTAGGCATTTATTTATTTATTTATTTATTTTGTTCCAATAGATTTGTCTTCATTTATCCTCCACCACTCTCCCCTGCCGCATCCACCTCCACCTCCCCACCTCAATCCATCCCCTCCTTGGCTTCATCCATGTGTCCCTCAAACGTGTTCCTTGATCTGACCCTTCCCCTTCTCCTCCCCCCTACGCCCCTCCCTTCCACCCTCCCTCCCTTTCTTCAGTCCCTGTTGGTTTCTCTTTCTTTCTGTGTTGCTAGTCATGTTTTCGTTGCCTGCTTAATTTACTCTCTAGGTTCCACTTATAGGTGAGATCATATGGTATTTGTCTTTTAACCCCTGGCTTATTTCACTTAACATAATTCTCTCCTGTTCCATCCATGCTGTCATGAAGGGTAGTAGCTCTTTCTTTCTTTCTTTCTTTCTGCTGCATAGTATTCCATTGTGTAAATGTACCATAGCTTTTTGATCCACTCATTTACTGATGAGCACTTAGGTTGCTTCCAATATGTCATTAATATTTTAATAGGGATTACGTTGCATCTATAAATTCCTTTGGCTAGTGTGGACATTTTGATAATGATAATTCTTCCAATCCACGAACACAGTATATGCTTGCATTTATTTGTGTCTTCCTTAATTTCTTTCTTCAGTGTTTTATAATTTTCTGTGTACAGGTCTTTTACCTCCTTGGTTAAGTTTATTCCTAAGTACTTTATTTTTCTTGTTGCTATAGAAAAGGGGATTTTTTTCCCCCTGATTCCTTTTTCTGGTATTTCATTGTTGGTGTACAAAAATGCCTTTGATTTCTGAATATTGACTTTGTATCCCACTGTTTTGCCAAATTCACTTATTAGATTGAGTAGTTTTTTGGTGGCGTCTATAGGGTTTTCTGTGTACACTATCATGTCATCTGCAAACAATGATAGTTTTACTTCCTCCTTTCCTATTTGGATGCCTTTTATTTCTTTTTTCTTGTCTGATAACTGTGGCTAGAACTTCAATACTATGTTGAATAGAAGTGGTGAAAGTGGACATCCTTGTTGTGTTCCCGATCTTAGTGGGAAAGCTTTTAGTTTTTGCCCGTCGAGTATAAAGTTGGCTGCAGGCTTTTCATATATGGCCTTTATTATGTTGAGGTATGCCCCCTTTATTCCCACTTTGCTGAGTGTTTTTTATCATAAATGTACCTTATCAAATGGTTTTTTAACATCTATTGATATGATCATGTGATTTTTATCTTTCCTTTTGTTTATGTGATGTATCATGTTTATTTATTTGTAAATATTGAACCATCATTGCATCCCTGGGATGAATCCCACTTGATCATGGTGGATGATCTTTTTAATGTATTGCTGGATGTGGTTTGCAAATATTTTGTTGAGATTTTCAGCATTTATGTTCATCAGTGATACTGGCCTGTAGTTTTCTTCCTTGGTTGTGTCTTTATCTGGTTTTGGGATTAGGAAGACACTGGCCTCATAAAAAGAGTTCAGGAGTCTTCCCTGTTCTTGGATTTTTTGGAATAGCCTGAGAAGGACAGAGGTCAGCTCTTCCTTAAATGTTTCGTAAAATTCTCCTGTGAAACCATCTGGCCCAGGGCTTTTGTGTGCTGGGAGTTTTTTGATTAATGTTTCAATTTCAACAGCTGTTATCGGTCTGTTCAGGCTTTCTGCTTCTTCTTCATTCAGTGTTGGAAGGTTTTACTTTTCTAGAAATTTGTCCATTTCATTTAGGTTTTCAAATTTCCTGGCATATAATTGTTCACAGTAGTTTCTTACAATCCTTTGTATTTCTGTGGTATCAGTTGTTATTTCTCCTCTTTCATTTCTGATATTATTTATTTGGGTCCTCTCCCTTTTTTCCTTGACAAGTCTGGTTAAAGACGTCGATTTTTTTTAAATCTTTTCAAAGAACCAGCTCCTGGATTGGTTGATCCTTTGAATTGTTCTTTTCGTCTCTATGTCATTAAGTTCTGCTCTAATCTTGATTACTTCCTTTCTTCTACTGACTCTGGGCTTTGTTTGTTTTTGTTTTTCAAGTTCTTGAAGCTGGAGCGTTAGGTCATTTATTTGAAATGTTTCTATCTATTTTAGGTAAGCCTGTGTTGCTATGAACTTCCCTCTCAGGACTGCCTTTGCTGTATCCCATAGGTTTTGGACTGTTGTATGTTCATTTTCATTTGTTTCCAGAAACTTTTTTACTTCGTATTTGATCTCATTATTGACCCATTCATTGCTTAATAGTGTTCTATTCAGTCTCCATGAGTTTCACTGTTTTTCAGTTATTTCCATGAAGTTGGTTTCTAGTTTCAAGCCCTTGTGGTCTGAGAAAATGCTTGTTATTATTTCAATTTTTCTGAATTTGTTGAGGTTAGTTTTGTGTCTTATCATGTGATCTATCTTTCAAAATGCCCCATGTATATTTGAAAAGAATGTGTATTTTGCTTTATTTGGGATGAAATGTTCTATATATGTCAGTTAAGTTCATTGATCTAATGCGTCGTTCAGTTCTACAATATCCTTATTGATGTTTTGTTTGGAAGATCTATCAGTTTTTGACAGTGGGGTATTAAAATCCCCTACTATCAGTGCGTTACTGTCTGTAACTTTCTTGAAGTCCTCCAAAATTTTCCTTATATATTTGGGTGCTCCTATGTTTGGTGCATATAGGTTTACAATGTTTATGTCTTGATGGATTCTTCCTTTGAGTATTAAAAGTGTCCTTCAGGGTCTCTTATTATGGCCTTTGTTTTGAAATCTATTTTGTCTGACATAAGTATTGCTATCCCTGCTTTTTTTTTTCTTCCCCATTTGCTTGGAATATTTTTTTCCATCCCTTTACTTTTAGTCTGTGTAAGTCCTTTTTTCTTAAGTGAATCTCTTATAAGCAGCATATGTGTGGGTCATGTTTTTGTATTCATTCAGGTATCCTATGTCTTTAGATTGGGGCATTTATTCCATTTACATTTAAAGTTATTATTGATAGGTACTTATTCATTTTTTTCATTTTGTATCTGTGTTTCTGTCTTTCTCACTCTTTTTCTTCATCTTCTTAAAGCAGTCCCTTTAGCATATCTTGTAGTGCTGGTTTGTGAGGTGAATTCTTTTAGCCTTTTTTTTTTTTTGTCTGGGGAACTCCTTATTTTGTCTTCCATTTCAATTGAGAGTCTTGCTGGGTAGGGCAGTCTTGGTTGCAGGCCTTTGCTTTTCATGACTTGGCATATTTTTGCCATTACCTTTTGGTTTGTCATATTTCTGTTGAGAATTCAGCAGCTAGCTGTTTCAGGGCTCCCTTGTATGTTACTACTCGTATCTCCCTTGCTGCCTTTAGGATTCTCTGTTTGTCTTTGATATTTGCCATTTTAATGATGATGTGTCTTGGAGTGGGCCTCACTGGGCTCCTCTTAAATGGGACTCTCTGTGCTTCTTGGACTTGTGTGACTTTTTCTCTCCTCCAATTAGGGAAGTTTTCCATCATTACTTTTTCAAACAGATTCTCTATCCCCTCCTCATCCTCTTCTCTTTCTGGTATCCCTATTATACAGATATTATTACATTTTAGGTTGTCCTGCATGTCCCTCAATGCTTCTTCTTTCTTTTTGAGTCTTTTTTTCATTTTGTTGCTCTTTCTGGGAGCTTTTTTCTACCTTGTCCTCCAGCTTGCTGATTTGTTCTTCTGCTTCATTGAGCCTGCTTTTGATTCCTTCTACTGTGTTCTTCAATTCAGAAATTGTATTCTTCATTTCCTCTTGTCTCTTATTGAAAGTTTCTATATCCTTTTTATGCTGATGTAGTTTGCAGTAAGTTCCTTGCAGTTTTACTTTAGTTTATGTAATTCTCTCTGAGCTCACTGAGCTCATTGAGCTTCCTTAGAACAGTTGTTTCGGACTCAATATCTGATAGTTTATTTTCCTCTATTTCATTTAGTTCTCTTTGTAGTGATTCCTCCTTTCCCTTTGATTGGGGTGTGTTTCTTTGGTTTCCCATTATTTGTGAGCCTCTTCTTTTTTGCTTTTGCTTCTTAAGTTGATCTGTCTTGATTTCCTGATTTTGCGGTATGAACTTCTTTGGTAGAAGACCACTGTTTTTATTTTCTGGATCTGCCTCTGATGATGTCAGATGTTGACCCTGTCTGACCTTTAGAAGTCTGTTCAAGATTTCCAGGAATCTACTGTCTGTGGCTGTCTCCTTCAGCTGTAAATCTAGTCACTCTGCATTCAACAGGCTGGCTTAGACACTACTGGGTGGGGCGGAGTCCCTCCTGAGGGCAGGGTTATTGAGTCCTCTCAGGCTGCTGCTCCTCAGGATAGTGATCTGCCTGAGCCACATGGCTGCTGCCACATGGGGGAGGAGTCAACACTGGGATCCCGCCAGCTACTCCCTCCATTCTCTCCCCAAAGCCACCATCACCAGTTTCTCCTCAAGTATCTCTAGACCACTCTGTGCCCCCTTTAGCCAGGGATCTACTCTCTGTGGCTGCCACTCTGTACTCAGCAGTCGGGCTTTAACCCTACTGGGCCAGGGTCAAGTCCTTCTTTGGGGCTGGGCTATTGTGTCCTCTCATGGTGTTGCCCCTTAAGTGAGTGGTCTGCCTGAGCAAGATGGCTGCTGCCATATGAGGGAGGAGATAGCACTGGGATCTCACCTGCTACTTTCTCAGTTCTCTTTCCCAATACCTCTTTCCCCAGCCTCTCCTCTGGCCTCTCCAGTCCACTCTGCCCCTGCATTTGCCAGACACCAGGGTAAGTGGCTGCAAATAAGAATTTATGCATTGGCCCTTTAAACTGCTCTTTGCATCTCCAGCTGCCTGTCTCTGGGAGAGAGCAACCCTTCCGCTCTTTGCAGCTGGCTGTTATCTGTGTACTTTTTGGTCTCTTGTGCTGTAGGCTGGAGATCCCCGCTTATGGTTTAGATCTCGCTCTTCTCAGGGGGATCCAACTAGCCATTTCAATATCCTTCTCATGGACAGACACCTCATTGTGTCTTCACATAGCAGAGAGAACTATGGTTTCTTCCTCTTCTTATTACATTAATCGCACAATGAGGTCCACTATTATCACCTTATCTAAATCTATTCACCTTCCAAAGGCCCCATCTCCAAATATCAGCTCATGGAAGGTTAGGGCTTCAATATATGAATTTTAGGGGGACACAAGCATTCAGTCTATAACACACCCATGGCTGGGTCACTTGTGGACAATCCAGTTGATGAAGAGGATCTGGCTCATGGCAGTGATGGAATAAATACTCATTCCTTTGTTTTTCTTTTTGTCTCCATAAGATGGTAGCTGGAAAGCAGATAGTAGTGATATCTTCTCTAAGATGAATAATCACATTTTCTCTTCTTGGTGCTGAGTTTCCCCTCCTTGACACTCTCCTATTTGTCTCCCACTTCAGCCCTTCACAAACCCAGCAAAGGCCCAGTAGTAGCAGGTGTGCAAAGGACTTGTGTCCTGCTCTCTCCTGCAATCAGACAACTCCTGTTTTACTTTCTGAGCAGGGCTCAGGGCTGTGTATATGAGGGGTGGTACCTGCCTGACTTCTTTTCCCTCCAAATATTCTCTACTTCCATTTCAGGCAAAGAGTTCTTTTTCCTGGACAATGAAACCAGGTTGTGCAAAATAGCCCCTGAAGGCCTGGAGTAAGCAACCACAGAAGACCTCCTGGATAGCCTTCACACTCTTCCTGAGGATCAAGTTCTTTGTCAGTCACTATTGACTGCTCCAGTGAGTGTTACAGACTTGTTGCATTGTTCCTTAAGGGATAGGCACATCCAGGCTGACATTAGAGGTAATAGTTAGAAGCAAGTGTTTGGTGAACTTTAACTTATATATAAATAACAATTATTGTGGTTGATCTTCTATTGATTGGATTCCAGTCTGACAGAAAACGGGGGAGGGGGATCAGTGTTTAGGGGCAAGCTCTTGTCAAAATGAGAGCTGGCCCTTTTGTTTCGAATATATTCCACTCCAAGTCAAAATTCTCTCTCCTCTGACCTATGTGCCCCTGCCCCAGCAGCCAAGTCATGAGGGATGGAGGATAGGATCATGGCTCTGGAGTTCAGTCATTGCCTCTTTGTTCCTTAGCTCAGTAGAAAAACCATCTAACAAACCTGAATCACAGCAATGAACATCTCCATGCGTGTAACATGAAGTGCATGGCACAGAGTAGCCTCCAATTAGAGGCCAGAGGCATGGTGTGGATAAAGGAGACCACACTTGTTTTACTGGCATTGTCCTCTGGATAGTATTGATTTGTATCCTGTCTTCTCTCCTTTCCCTGTTTTTCAGACTGAGGAAACCCTCTCATCATTCCAGTGGCTTTTATTCCTGCATTTCTTTCACAGGCAGAGCTGGACAAGACATCAATTTTACCTGCAGCTTCAGAAAAACATCCTGGAGGAGAAGCTGTACTGCAATGATGAGACGCTGCTGCAGCTGGGGGTCATTGCTCTGCAGGCTGAGTTTGGCAGTTACCCTGAGGAGGTAGGGGTGGAAACCTGGGGCCCTTGATGGGGTCAGCAGAGACGTAGTTGTGGGACAAAGGGAAACTGTTGAAAATGTGGAGTCTAAGAGGTGTTATTAGCATCTACCACTGAAATTGGGGTAAACATCCATCCATCCATCCATCCATCCACCCACCTACCCATGCATTCATTCATCCAATCAAATGATCTTTGCTAGGCTCTGAGGATTACAAAGATGAACAAGTCAAGTTTATACATTATAATGTAGTTCTAAGATCCCTCCTCAAGACAGTAATTTCTAATTTATTTAGTTCCCATCACCATCATAATCATCAGTAGTTAAACAGCCAACCTTTATTAAGAGATCACTATGTACCTGCCATTGACCTAGACATTTTCTACACTAGTAACTCCTTTAACCATCAAAACAACATTACAAGGTTGATACATTTTCTAGAAGAGAAATTTGAGACTCATATGGCAAGCAAAAGGCAAAGTCTAAATTTGAGCCCAGGTATATCTGACTCCAAGGCCACTGCTGATTCTGCCAGACCCACTGCTTCTTCAAATGGCAGCCCTGATCTTGCTGGCCAAGCCCTTGTCCCCGCAGCACAATCATATGTAAGTTTCTTTGATTTAATTTGGCTCTGATGGTCCTATGTTACAGTCCTCAGGGACTTAGTAGAGGCTACTGGTTATTTAATTTGCAAATACGTCAATATACGGAAGGATAATGCTAATATATTTATTAACTTAATCAGGATTTAAAATGGAGACACCAGACAGTAAGGAAGGAACTCCCAGGTGAGCTATGACAGAGAGCACTGCACCTTTCTCTTGGGTTAATGAAGGCCCCCCTTCCATGTTCAAGATGAAGGGGTAGGGAGTAAGCAACAGACCTAAACAAAGATCTAAACAGTATGACCCAGCAGAGTGCCATGGCATCCAAATATGGAGTTTGTCTCTGGCTGCATCAGTAGGAGCAGAGAGGGAAGAGCAGGTGAAGTAAAGGTCTCACTGATGTCTTCCCAGGTGACTTCCCAGCCAGTGCACTGGGCTTAATCTTGGAGAGCATCACCACCACCATGTCATAAAAACTGAGAGGCTCTGGGGGCACTTCACTTGGAGAAGAGACACTCTAAAGAGGACATGAGAGCTGTGTAATGGAGGGGCTCTTGCTTGAAAGAAAAATGAGTTTTAACCCCTCTGTCCTTGGGCCTTTGAATACTTTCTCAGTAGCATCTTCATGTCTATCTTGATCTCACCTACCCTCCAAGATCAACCCATCTCCAACTCCTCAGCTTTCCTGGCCTCCCCACAAGTGGAAGGAAATCCTCCCTATATACTTGGGTCATCTTGGCCTGGCCTTGTGTTATGTGTTGAATTATATTCCCCACAGCTCATATGTTGAAACCCTAACTCCTGGTACCTCAGAATGTGACTGTTTTTGGAGAAGGGTCTTTAAAGTGGTGATTAAATTAAAGTGAGGCTGTCTGGGTAGGCTCAAATCCAATCTGACAGGAGTCCTTAGAAGAAGAGGGGATTAGGACACACAAAGGGACCCCATGTGTGCCTTAATGTGTCCAGGGAGGCAGGCAAAAAGGAGAAAGACCATGAGAGGACATGATGAAAAGGCACCTGTCTGCAAGCCAAGGTAAAGCCTCAGAGAAACCAATCCTGTTGACAGTTTGATCTTGGACTTCAGGCCCCTAGAACTGTGAGAGAATGAATTTCTGTTGTTTAAGCCACGTAGTCTGTTGTATTTGCCATGGCAGCCCCAGAAAACTAAATACCTTGAGTCTGTAGCCATCACCAAGTGTGGATACCTTGGCAGAGTTTTCTGTTCCTAGTTCTTACATGGTATGGGTTGAAGAGGGCAAGGCTATGACCTTAGTCACAGCTTGTCTTTTCTGTTCCAGTGACTGGGTTTAAGAGTGAGGACAAGTTCAAGAATTAAAATAGTTCTTTGAGGACAGTGGCTTTCAAATGTTCTGTGCCATGATCCATCATGGAAAAAAAAAGTATAGATGTTACAACCCAACACACACACACACACACACACACACCCCCCTATGTACATATCACAGATCTGACACAAAAATTTAGGAAATAAGATGTACCCTTCTATATGTATTGATATTGGTATTTCCTATTTTATTCCAGTTAATTTAAAATTTTCTGGTTATGAACCACTAAATTGATTTCACAGCTGCAGTTTGAAAAAAAAAACCGCTTTTCAGACTATATTAATATCATCTTTCTTTCCTCCCAGTACATCTTTAGAAGAGGATGCTGTGTCTGGAGTCTTCACTGGTTCTGTTTATTGCCTCACACAGCTGTATTTGTCTTTATAACCATTTCTCACCACTTGGCACGGGATATTCCTTTGTCAGCCTTAGTGCTGTTCTCTCCATTAGAATAAAGCCCACCTGAGGGAGAAGGCTCTGTCTGTGATGTTCTGCCATTTTCCCAGCACCAAAGCAATGCCTGAAACATAGGGAGTTTGCTCAAGAGCTATTGGTGTAAAGATTGGATGAATGAATGAGGGGATTAGGACACACAAAGGGACCCCATGTGTGCCTTAATGTGTCCAGGGAGGCAGGCAAATAGGAGAAAGACCATGAGAAGACATGATGAAAAGGCAGTTGTCTGCAAGCCAAGGTAAAGCCTCAGAGAAACCAATCTTGTTGACAGTTTGATCTTGGACTTCAGGCCCCGAGAACTGTGCAGGCTCGTGGACTGGATGGCACTGTAAATAACAGCCATCAGAAAAGTTATCACCTTGCTGATAACTGTAGCTCAATTCCCAACACCTCCCTCTACCCTCACACCCCTGTGCCCACCTCAGTCCATGGAGACTGGGATTCACCAATTTCTCCTGGCACTGTGCCAGCCTGACAGGACAGTCTCCCAGAACAGACCTGGCTCCTGGAACCTCCTCCTTGCCCCTTTGAGAAGCCTTTAGCCCTGTCACTGATCACACTGAGCTCTTTCCTATATCCTTGGCCCCAAAGTAGTAGTCCTTACCATGCCTAAGCCAGCTCTCTCTTGCCCTTGTCCTGCTACACTGGGAGCAGGGTGGGGGAGTGCTTGGCAGGAGAAGAGCTCTGATATTTAGAGAGTACTCTAAGCCATGGTTGTCCTGGTGAAGCAGTTGACATGCTTGCTGCAGCCTCTAGCCCAGTCCTGTATATGGCTTATGTAGACAGGGTAGGGTGGCTTCCAGCTGCAGTATTAGTCCACCCTCAGCAGGCTCCATGGAGCAGAGTGGGCCTGAGTTTTGGAATCAGATGGAACTGGGTCCAAACTCTGTCTCATTTTGTTAGTCATGACGTACATAACTTTGGGAACATTATCTCTCTGAGGTTCAGCTTTTTCATCTGCGAAATGGAAATAATAACAGGTCCCTCGCAAAGCTGCTGTAAGGTGGAATGTGGTTATGCGTGTATGATCCCTGGCATGTACCAACTGCTATTTGCAAGCTCCCTTCTTCATCCCCCAGAGTTAGAAGTGCTCTATTATTAAACCACACAAAGATCTAGCTTTCAGTCTTAGGATTCGGACATGGGATGTAAAACCTGAGGTCTTAACTGTAGCCTTAGATTTGGTGGAAACTGTGGGCAACATCCACTGAAGGCAGCTGGGCGTCTGAGTAAGACTCAGCCCAGATCTTTCTTATGGGATCACTTGTCCCAAGACCCAGGGGACCAGTCCTGTCTCTAGGTGCCCCATTGGTAACTCCCTGTGCCTATCCAGTCAGTTTCTGTCTGACCTCATCCATCCCCTACCTTATCCTGATCTCACCCTCTACCTCTGTCTCCTCTTCCAAATCCTTCCCCATCTCAGCTTTTCCCACTGCCCTGGGGATCAGAATTGTTCTGAGACACTCTCTGATGTTGTGATGGGGCTCCCAACAGCAGATCTTTCCCCTTTCTCTTATTTATGTAAAGGCAACAGATTACACAAACTCATTCATTTGCACATCCACTTGCTACGTCCTAATTTATGCAGGGCCCACTCTGTGCTTGGCATCACCTAAGCCTATATCAACCCTGCAGAGCCAGTGTAATTTCCATTTGAAGATGAGAAAAATTGTGCCTCTGTGAGGTTAGGTAAGATGGTAAGACCAGCAAGGACTCACTTCCAGAGCCTTGCTTCCTTATCCTCCTGGCACTGTGGTGGGCACATCAGATGATGTTAGGGGAAACTCAGAGAGGAGGGCCCCACTGTATGTGTGTCACTGAGTGAATAAGATAAGAAGGCTGCCTGTCCAGAGAGCAGCATTTATTCCACTGCTGCCCTACCTATAGGGGCTCTGAGTTGGGTGGTGCTGCCACTCTAGTCCAGGAGGAACTTAGTGTGTCCTCCTAAGGGACTTGTATTTTGTTCGATAAACAATTCAGGTGATGGAAAAAAAAGAATTTGGAAAGCACTGTAGTGAAAGATTGGAAGCCACTGATGAATTCTAAGCAAGGAAGTGACATGATTACATTTGCATTTTAAAAAGAGAGACAAAGACAATTTGGTACAAAAATAAATCTTAATCACGTCATTGCAGCAGAACAGACTTCCTCTGGGTGCCTTCTCCCACAGCCTTTGATCATATGCAGAGATTTTATACAGTCATAAGCACTGCCACATTTCATTTGCATTCTGCTTTTTCACTTGATGGCACATGTCTTCCTCTGGCTTCCTAATGATCTTTTGGAATAGCTATGTGTTACCCCATATCAAGGTTGGATCTCCTCTCACTTAACAGGTGAGAGTGATATATTGGGAATCTCCTAGAAGTGTCATGTAAGTGGGAACTACTCTTCTTATTATTCCAGTTGTTTTTTGATCTTCCTTTTTTATAAATGACATAGTAATAAATATTTGTGCTAGAGTTTTTTTAGTTCCATGTTAACTTCTTTTCTTGGACATATTCGTAGCAATGAAATGCTGGGCAAAGGTCTTAAACACTTTTAAAAAAATGTTTACTAGTTTTAAGTTAACAGTAAAATTGAAGGGAAGGTACAGTGAGTTCCTAAACACCACCTGCCCCCACACACATGCAGCCTCCTCCATTTTCAGCATCCCCACAGAGTGGCACATTTGTTACAACGATGAACCTACATAGACACATAATCACCCAAAATCTATAGTTAACATTAGGATTTTCTCTTGATACTATATATTCTACGGGTTTGGGCAAATTAATAATGACATATATTGACTACTACAGTATCATACAGAGTAGTGTCAGTGCCCTGTAAACCCTCTGTGCTCCACTTATTCATACCTCCTCCCACTAACCCCTGGTAACCACTGATCTTTTTACTGCCTTCATAGTTTTGCTTTTTTCAGAATGTCATACATTTGGAATCCTACCGTATTGAGTATTTGCAGATTGTCTTTTCACTTAGCAATACGCATTTAATTTTCCTCCATATCTTTTCATGGCTTGATAACTAATTTCTTCTTAACACTGAATAATATTTTTTTGTCTGGATGGACCACGGTTTACTTATCCATTACCTACCTACTAAAGGACATCTTTTGCTTCAAGTTTTGGCAATTGTAAATAAAGCTGCTATCAACATCCACATAAAGGTTTCTGTGTGGAGATGTTTTTAACTCCTTTGGGTAAATACCCAGGAGCATGATTGTTGGATTGTATGGTAAGAGCATGTTTAGTTTTGTAAGAAACTGCCAATCTTTCTTCCCAAGTGGCTGTACCATTTTGCATTCCCACCACTGATGTTGCTCTACATTTGTCAATACTTGGTGTTGTCAATATTCTGGATTTTGGCCTTTCTAATAGCAATCTGAGTGCTTTCTTATGCACTGGATTGCGAAGCAATTTTTTTTCCTTTGTGTTTCTGAGCTGAGCTCAGAGCTGGCATAAACCAGTCCTAGGCTGGAGGATTCTCAGTCCATGGCCACATGGACTCTAAGCCTGTGCCATGTCAGGAGCATGATGTTGTGGACATTGCTGTTCCTTTAGATCCCCTCATCAGGTCAACTGGCCCATTTTCTGATCTGAGAAAGCCAAATGCTCTTGGCTCCCAGCTGCCTTACTCATGTGTAGTTGGATAGTTGCCCTCAGCTATGGGGAAATAGCTTGCCTAAGGTTAGGCTGGAAGGGGCTGCATGAGACCAGGAGGGCTGATTCAGGAACACAAGGACAGAATCACCTTCATACTCTGTTAAGTCCTGCCCTCCTCATTTTTTACAAAATACCCCATGACCAATTCCTCCAAAACTTCTGCTTACCCATCTCTGCCCCAGAGTCCACATCAAGGACTGCAGCATCAGGCATGGGTGATGACCAAGACCTCTCCTTACAAAGAGGTGACAGTACATTAGGAACACACATGCATAGAAATGCTAAATGAATAAAAAGAAACTAAAGAGTTCCGGCCAAGATGGAGACATAGGTAGATATACTCTACCTCTTTGCACAATCAAAAGAAGGACAACAAATTTAAAAACAAAATAATAACCAGACTGCCAGAAAATTGAACTGTATGGAAGTCCAACAACCAAGAAGCTAAAGAAGAAACATGCATCCAGACCAGTAGGAGGGGCAGAGATAGGCAGCTGGGGCAGAGAGGCTGCGTGGCAAGGTGGTGGCTAGAAGGCCAGGCAGATGAGGTGGGGGCTGGCAGACTGGCTGCTCCACATTTGCATGCAGATAAACCAGAGGAACAGCTGGGGAGCAATACAGACCACACAATACAGGGTTCCAGTGAGGGAAAAGAAAGCCTCAAAACCTCTGGAGGTAAAAGCCTCTGGGGGTTGCAGTGGCAGGAGAAACTCCCAGCCTCATAGGAGAGTTTGTTGGAGAGACCCACAGGGTCATGCAATGGACACAAACCCACTCATCCAGAAATCAGCACCAGAAGGGTCCAATTTGCTTGTGGGTAGCAGGGGAAGAGACTGGAAGATGGCCAGGAACCAAACAAGCAGCATTGTTGCCTCTCAGACCCCTCCCCCACATACAGTATCACAACACAGAGACCTGGGTTGCTCTACCCATTCCAACATAACAGGTAGGCTGAGACAAAGAAGTATGGCCCAAATGAAAGAAAAGGTCAAAACTCCAAAATAAAACTGAGCAATGAAGAGATAGCCAACCTATCAGATGCACAGTTCAAAACACTGGTAATCAGGATGCTAACAGAATTGGTTGACTATGGTCACAAAATGGAGGAAAAAGGGAAGGTGATGCAAAGTGAAATAGAGAAAAATATACAGGGAACCAACAATAAAGGAAAGGAAACCGGGACTTACATCAATGATTTGGAGCAGAAGAAAAAGATAAACTTTCAACCAGAACAGAATGAAGAAACAAGAATTCAAAAAAATGAGGAGAGGCTTAGGAACTTCTGGGACAACTTTAAATGTTCCAACATCAGAATCATAGGGTTGCCAGAAGGAGAAAAGGAAGAGCAAGAAATTGAAAACTTATTGGAAAAAAGAATGAAGGAGAACTTCCCCAATCTGGCCAAGGAAATAGAGTGTCAGGAGATCCAGGAAGCTCAGAAAGTCCCAAAGAAGTTGGACCCAAGGAAGCACACTCCAAAGAACATCATAATTACATTATCTAAGATTAAAGATAAGGAGAGAATCTTAAAAGCAGCAAGAGAAAAAGAGAGAGTTACCTACAAAGGAGCAAATGAGTTCCCATAAGACTATCAGGTGATTTCTCATAAGAAATCTTACAGGCAACAAGGGACTAGAAAGAAGTATTCAAAGTGATGAAAAGCAAGGGCTTACATCCATGATTACTCTTTCCAGCAAAGATATCATTTAGAACGGAAGGAGATAAAGTGCTTCTGAGATAAGGTCAAATTAAAGGAGTTCATCATCACCAAGGCCTTATTATATGAAATGTTGAAGGGACTTATCTAAGAAAAAGAAAAAGATAAAAAACTATGAACAGTAAAATGGTAACAAACTCGCAACTATCAACCACTGAACCAACCCCCCCCCAAAAAAACCCCAAAACAAAAACAAACTAAGCAAACAACTAGAACAGGAACAGAAGCACAGAAATGGATATCAGAGAGGGGGAGGAGGGGGAAGAATGCGGGAAAAGGTACAGGGAATAAGAAGCATAAATAGTAGGTACAATATAGACAGAGTGAAGTTAAGAATAGTATAGGAAATAGAGAAGCCAAAGAACTTATATGTATGGCCCATGGACATGAACTAAGAGGGGACAGGGGGTGCAGGGCGGAGGGGAATAAAAGGGAGAAAAAATGCGACAACTGTAATAGCATAATCAACAAAATATATATTTAAAAAAAACAAAACTAAGTTTCTTGACCAAGGTTTTTCTGTGCATTTGGGAAGTGGCATGGCAGCATAAAATGTGTTGAGGGCTTGGATGACCAGATCTTCTTTCTTTCACAAGCAGTGTGACCTTGGAGCCATTGAATGACTTCCCTCCTTGTTCAATGTGTTCATCTTGGCAATGGCAATATTAATGCTGTCCCTGTAGAATAACTGTGAGAATCAAAAGAGTTAAAGGTTCTGAGGACCAATTGATTAAAAAATGGGTGGTTCTTCTTTTCTCTCCCTTCTATTCACATCATATGATGTGATGTAACTTCTAATATAGTAGAAGAAAGATATGCAAGGTGGGCTCCTTGAAGGAGCATCCTTGCCCTGAGACCCTAACCTGGGTTTTGACCGCAGACAGACTCTTGTTCCACTCAGAGTCCCATAGAAGGTATCCCTGTATGCCCCTTTTCCTCTGCATCTTATTTTTAGCAGGTAGAAACTAACGCTTATTTCCACATTGAAGATTACATCCCAGCAAGTCTGATTGAGAAGATGACTTCTCCCAGGGTTCAGTCCCAAGTCTCAGAGATGCACTGTCTCAGTCCTGTGCCCTGGGGAGAGGAAGCCGAACTGGAGTTCTTGAAGGTGAGACTTCTACCCTTCTAGCCTTGGAAGAAGTGTTGGTGTTCAAGGGCACACAGTGAGCAACCCCTTCTAAGACCTTTCCTGAGGGCTAGATGTTCTCTGACCCAGGAGGAGGTACAAGCAAGGGACTTGAGGCTCAGGGAGGGAGGAATCTCCATTGCTCCACCAGGCAAAGATAGGCTTCTGGAAGTAGATGGCATTGGAAATGGTTCCTAAAGATAGGTAGGATTTAGTGGGCTGGGGTGGGTATTGTAGGGCGTTTCTTCAACCTTAGATCTCACAGTAACTTCTGTGAGTGGGGAGATCACATTTCTCGTAGAGGACGTGTGGGAAAACTGAAATAGAAAATTGGGTGTGAGCTAAAAGCAAAGCCATTGGAAGACCCCAAGTTTTCAGCCTTCCAGAAAACTGTCCTCAGCACAGCACAAATAGTGTGGTCCATGCATCTGAGTGCATCTCTGGTCCACTCTCTCCTCAGCCCTTGAGCCGAATGAGCAGCATTTCAGGTCCCATATTTGTGGGCACATACAGAGCCTGCAATGAATAGGTTTTGCTCACTCTTAGACTTCAACTCCTTGACCCAGGCACTGTGGGCAGTGGAAAATACAGTACATGCTCCCTGCCCTCAGGGAGTCCCAAGTCTCCCAAGGAAGCACAGACAGGTACCCTGAGGCATACAACACTGTGATAGCTGCCCCTTGAGAATGACAACAATAGCAGTTACTCTCTCTCTCAGGGTGGGAGGGAGTGACTCTTACACCCTCCCTCAGAGGTAGAGCTGGGGGTCATGTGGGAGGAGTTACCCTCTTCCCCACCAGCCTTCCACAGGGCAGGATACCTGGCTGGGCCTTTAGAATCAGATGCAGTTGCAAAAGGAAATTCCAAAACATATACATTTTTCTGTACAAAGTCTCCTGAGACAGATAGAAATATTCTGTCATTGTTTTTTGCCTTTAATAAAGACAGACATTAGAAGCCAAAATGCTGATGGGAGGTGTGGCCTTTTCTTTTTGATGGGTCACTTAGCAGAACTGTTTGTAGCACTCAGCATGATGTAAACCTGCAAGCTTTTTCATTTGAGAAGCCCTGTCAGAAAGGTGCTCACTGAATTCCAGAATCTAGACTACATGTGTGTTCCTTGTCAAGAGGACGAAGCATCCCTTTGACAAAGGGCAAGGAGGGACTGCAAAGCCATCAGCACACATCTGGTGGAGAGTGGCTGCAGAGCCACAGAGCCTGTGGTGAGGCTGAGGCTTCAGTCCTGCCGAAGCCCTGCAGAACTGACAATACCTGCCTGCCTCTGCTCACTGTGTCCCTCCCTCCCCTGGTTGAAGAATAAAAACTAATTGTAAAGGAAACCACCATTTCATAAGCAAAGCCCTGAAAGATTTGATTTCACTTGCATGCAATTTTATCAGTTTCAAGAGACTAGCTTTTCGAAGTTCTCCTTGTTTGGGCTTGCTAATACTGTGCTACCCGAGGTACAGAGGCATGACCCAGAGGGTTTGGTAACCCAGGTTGTGATCCTTCCTATTAGTGTGAATGTTTGTTAAACAAAGTCCTTCTCCCATGATTGTAAAAGCAATCATTTGTTCCTAATTATGTCTCCCTATAGATAGCACAATTATATTGGGGTGTATTTATTTTTCTCTGTTTGTTCTAGGCATTCACAGGTGTATATGCATATATATATTTAAAATTGGGTTTATACTATATATGCAGTTTTGTGCATTTTATTATCTTATCTCTCTAAAATTTTGAAACTATTTTATTTTTTAAATGTATAAATCATGTTTATTCTATTATCGTTGTCTCAATTTTTCCCGCTTTAACTCCCTCCACCCATCCCCCCCTCACCCCGACTCCCACAGTCAATACCCACTCGGTTGTCCATGCCCATGGGTCATTCATACATGTTCTTTGTCTAGTCCCTTCCTGCTCTTTCCACCATTGTCCTCTTTCCCCATCCTCTCCTGTCACTTTCAGTCTGCTCCATGTTTCTGTGCCTGTGGTTTATTTTGTTCGTTAGTTTGTTGAATAGAGTCCACTTATAGGGGAGATCATATGGTATTTGTCTTTCATCAAATAGCTTATTTCACTTAGCTTAATATTCTCCAGTTCCATCTATGTTATTGCAAAAGTTTGGAGTTCCATCTCTCTCTCTCTTTCTTTCTTTCTTAAAGGCAGATTGATTTTATTTATTTTTTAAATGTCAAATTATAAAATATTAAAAAATTTAAAACCATTACAAAGTCTCAGCAATTAAAACAACATAATACCAGCACAGAAATAATCAAGTAGCTCAATGAAATAAAATGAGCATTCTAGAGACAAACATATATATCTAACAATGTAATGTATGATTAAGTTGATATTTCAAATCCATGAGTAAAATAAGCCTTATTCAACAAATAAGGTGCATGGACCACTATTACTTGAAATAAAATAAATATAGAGCTCTATTTCACACATTATACAAGAAATACTCAGGCGAATTAAAAATCAATATGTATAATCTAAGGAATTTTAGGAGAAAATACAAACTAATATTTTTCTTACCCTGAAGTAAAATATTCAAACCCAGAAGCTATAAAGGAAAATATTGACAAAATGATTATATTAAACATTTAAGACTATATAGTAATATACATATAAACAAAGTTAAAGGACAAGTAATAGAACAGGAAAGTATTTGCAACACATCTAAAACAGGGTTTATTTTGGGCTTTTTTGGGGGGGGGGATGAAATTCTACAAACATTTGATCAAAAAAAATGGATAAAGAATACCAAAAATTCATTTAAAGCTTTTTTTATTTTAAATAATAGAAATAGGCAGAAATATATAAAAACGTTTTAGGTTCAGTTTCAAGAAATAATAAAGGAACAATTAACACATCATTGTCATAATCAGATTAAGACATATTAAAAAAACATTGGTAACATCAAGTATTGGTAACTGTGAAAGGAACTGGGTAGTCATAGACTCTTTTTCTTCATCTTAAAGCAGTCCTTTTAGCATATTTTGCAGTGCCGGTTTGGTGGAGGTGTATTCTTTTAGCTTTCTATTGTCTGGGAAACTCCTTATTTTGCCTTCCATTTCAATTGAGAGCCTTGCTGGGTAGAGCAGTCTCAGTTGCAGGCCTTTACTTTTTGTGACTTGGAATATTTCTTGCCAGTCCCTTCTGGCTTATAGTGTTTCTGTTGAGAAGTCAGCTACTAGCTGTATCAGGGCTCTCTCATATGCTGCTACCTCTTTCTCCCTTGCTTGTTTTAGGATTCTCTGTTTGTCTTTGATATTTGCCATTTTATGATGATGTGTCTTGGAGTGGGCCTCATTAGGTTCCTCTTGAATGGGACCCTCTGTGCTTCCTGGACTTGTGCGACTTTTTCTCTCCTCCAATTAGGGAAGTTTTCCTTCATGACTTTTTCAAACAGGTTCTCTATCCCTTCCTCCTCCTCTTCTCTTTCTGGTATCCCTATTATACAGATATTATTACATTTCAGGTTGTCCTGCATGTCCCTCAATGTCTCTTCATTCTTTCTGAGTCTTTTTTCATTTTCTTGCTCTTTCTGGGAGCTCTTTTCTACTTTGTCCTCCAGTTTGTTGATTCAATCCTTGGCTTCATCAAGGCTGCTTTTGATTCCTTCTACTGTGTTCTTCAATTCAGAAATTGTATTCTTCATTTCCTCTTATCTCTTATTGATAGTTTCTATGTCCTTTTACATGCTGATATAGTTTGCACTAAGTTCCTCAGTTTCCTTGTAGTTTTTTGTAATTCTCTCTGAGCTCAGTATGCTCATTGAGCTTCCTTAGAACTGTTGTTTTGGACTCAATATCTGATAGTTTGTTTTCCTCTATTTCATTTAGTTTTCTTTGTAGGTATTCCTCCTTTCCCTTTGAGTAGGAGGTATTTCTTTGTCTTCCCATTATTTGTGAGACTCTTCTTTTTTGCTTCTGCTTCTTAAGTTGATATGTCTTGATTTCCTGACTTTGTGGTGTGAACTTCTATGGTAGGAGACTGCTGTTTTTGTTGTTTACTTTCTAGATTTGCCTCTGATGATGTCAGATGTCATCTCTGTCTGACCCTAGGCAGTAAGTTCGAGACTTCCTGTAATCTACTGTTTGTGGCTGTCTCCTTCAGCTGTTAATCTAATCGCTCTGCACTCAGCAGGCTGCCTTAGACAGCTCAGGGCAGGGTGGAGTCCCTCCTGGGGGTGGGGTTATTGGTTTCTGTCATTCTGCTGCCCTATGCGGGAGGAGTCAGCACTGGGATCCCGCTGGCTACTCTCTCAGTTCTCTCCCTCAAAGCCTCTGTCCCTAGTCTCTCCTCAAGTGTTACAGACCTCCCTGTGCCCCTTTACCCAGGGATCTACTATCTGTGGTTGCCACTCTGCACTCAGCAGGTGGCTTAAATAGCACAGGGTGGGGTGGAATCCCACCTGGGGCCAGGGGTATTGTGTCCTCTAACGTAGCTGCTGCTCAGGGGAAGTGTTCCTTGCCTGAGCAAGATGGCTGCTGCCACATGGGGGAGGACTCAGCACAGAGATCCCGCCAGTTACTCTCTCAGTTCTCTTCCCAAGGTCTCCTTCCCCAGTTTCTTCCCAGGTGTCTCTAGCCTACTCTGCCCCCGTCTTTGCCAGAGACCAGGGTAAGTGGCTGTAAAGAAAAATTTATGTGTTGGCCCTTTAAATGCTTCTTTGCGTCTCCAGCCAGTGGTCTCTGGCAGAGAGCAACCCTGCTGCTTTTTGCAGCTGTCTGTTTTCTGTGTACTATTTGGGCTCTGGTGCTGTGGGCTAGAGATCCCCACTTATGGTTTAGATCCCGCTCTTCTCGGGTGGATCCAACTGGCCATTTCAATATCCTTCTGGTGCTGCTGCCCGTGGGTGCCCCGCCTGCCTTCTCGAGTCTCTGCTGCACTCTTTACCAGTTAGATTGTGCCAAAGCCAATTCTTCTATCTCCAAGGTTACAAGGCTCCTTTGTCGCCATTGTTCAGTTGTTTGTTCCAGGTGATTTCTCCCCAATGTAGTTGTAATTCCAGGTTGGTCCTGGGAAGAGGTCAGCATAACTTCCACTCACTCCTCTGCCATCTTGATCCTCTGAAACTATTTTAAACCACACACTGTACCCTAAATTATTTCTCAGTATGCTTGAATATGGGACTATTTAAAAAATACTGAGATTAGTATATTTTTTTTACATAAGTCTTTAGCTGCATGCACTTCTCCTTTACTCCTTAGAATATAATCTCATCAGTAGAATTACAGAATTGAAGATTATGAACATTTTAAACATTTCAACGTTCTAAGACACTATATATTGCAGTTATTTCTGTACATTTCTTGTCCCCTCTATTAGGTTGTAAATGTCCATAGGGCCCATCTCAGAGCCCTGCTACTCTATAAACAGGCATTGAATTATTTAATTACAGGCTCCCTTTTCCATTATCAAAAGGTGCCTGTTGGCCTCCGGTTCACTGATGACTAATTCTGCTAGTTCATCATCTCACACTAGAAGGAGACTTGGCAGAAGTCCAGTTTGGGTAATGCTGAATAACATACTCTGTCTGGAAGATTCACAACTGCATTAGCATTTTAATCCTAGAACCACCTGTTCAAGGTTAACTCAGTGTTTTCCAAATTTCCTCAACCATAGAACCATTTTCCCACATAACTGGGGGTTGTGATATGCTATTAAAACATTTTTTTCTGTTGAAATCATACTGGTTGTATTCTGTATTTTCCTCCACTTAGCATTATAACATACACATTCCCCAGATAATTACAAATGCTTTATAAATATTCTGTGTTAAAACTGCCTGATAATCCCTTTTAAGGCAATACTGACTTTAGGAAATTATTGACCTCTGGGAGCTGGTCCTCCCAGCTTAATCTTGTAAGTCTGTACTGAACATTTCTATGAGAAGAATTTGTAGTGATTTTGTGGTATATTTTCTTAGGACTGATTTCCAGGAGAGGAAATGTTACGGGAGAAACTCCCAGAAACTCACTGATGCAGTAGAAAATGACAGATCAGCTAATCTGTTAGTGTGCAAACAGGGTTTATTGGTGATCTGTTCTCATGGAAGAGAACAGCATAGGTAAGGTGGATGGGGTAAGGTAAAAGGCATAGGCAAAACAGTGCAAGGATGGCCAAAGGCTGGGGTGCGCATGCAGCCAGAGGCCAGGGCGCCATAGAGCCAAGAGAGAGTCCTTTGTTCTGAGGGCTTATATATTTGGCAGAATAGGGTGAAGAAGTTAACATATTGATTGATGGGTAAATGTGGTGCCAGCTTTCCTAGTTGGGGGTGGAGTGGGGATGTGGCTACCCAAACTTAGCTATGTATTGGGGTGTGTTAGCCCAAATCCTTATCTTGCTCCAGACCCCATTTGTCTATCTTGATGTAAAACAGATATGTGATAGGAGGCAGTTAATTAAAGTTGGACAGTTACCCGAAGTTACTTACAGGCTCTTCCTGTAAGCATTAGGGACTTCCTCATAAAACAGATAGTGACCAGAGGTAGGCAATTAACCAAAGTTGTTTTATGGGCTTCCTCCTTTGTGGATCCTCTCCTATCTTTCAGGCCTTGAGGTGACAGCACAGTTTTGAGGCTTTCTTTCCCTGATAGTGGAAACAACACATAGAATTTCAAGGATTTTCCTCTGCCTGTGTTAGTGTGGTGTTTCTTCTGATGTTGTTACACCTGGCAATATTGTTAGACCAGGGTTAGTACTGCTGAGTTAGTGGGTGAGACATGTCTCCCTCCTCTTCCCTGCCTTGGTTTGCTATCTATCCTACCTAACATAATTATAGAGTCAAAGTATATGAATTGTGAATCTTTTGATGAATAGCTGGAAATAATCCATTTGTTCCAACAGTTTTCAATACAGAAAGGGTACTGTGTGCGCTGGGGACTAGGAGAGCCCGGGTCCAGTCTCAACTTTGCTGTTCCATTTAGGGAGAAGTGGTAAATAGTGAGGTAAACCTGAGCATGTTAAGAGGAAGTGACCCTCTGAGAGGAAGGTCAGTAGCAGCAAGAAAGAGGGGACCAGGAGAGATGCTACCGAAGATTCCTCAGTAGAGTATGGAGACATAGATAATGTTGCTTTTTTTTTTTTAAATGAATTGAAAATGGCCCTGACAACCTTATATATTTTCACCCATGTTTCCAGACCTTATAGAAACTGTACTTGTGTTGGTGTGCATGAAGACGTAAAAGCAAATAGACTCATGTTTCAGTTCCTGGCTCCCAGTTGGAACTTTGGTAGATTACTTAACCCTTAACCCTTCTGTGCTTCCATTTTCTCATTTGAAAAGAGATAGTTACAGCTCTCTCTTACGATTTTTGTAAAGATTAAATAAAATAATGCCAGGGAAATACTTAGAATAGTGCTTTATATACTTCTGTAGCATATCCCTCTCTATGTAATTTAAAAATTAATAATTAATATTAAACAATTAAAAAATGTAAGCAAGCCTATCAAAGGCATCTTTATTGTAATAAGTTCATTTGCTTGCCTTGCATTTTTTTTTTTTTTAGATATATCAAATACTTTTAAAGAATTTATCTAATTGTGTTTAGGGTGACCTTGATTTATCATACCTCAAGCACAAACCTAGTCTGGCCATTGGCTTTTCCCACACCAGTGGTTAATAAGTATTGTTTTTGATGATGGTGATGGTGATGATGATGATAATGATGATGACAATAACAAAGTCTCTCCAAAGTTAAAAGAAGAAGGCTCAGGGTCCGGAAACTTCATGAAGATTATGTGAAGAGCTGTAGGCTCTGTAAGCAGCAGAATTAATCTGTAGAGATTATTGATCCACAACAGGAGAGAGGTGGACAGGGAGCCTGAGAAAGGAGCTCTCAATGCCTTAATTTGCCCCTGCTTTTGTAACCCTGGCTGGGAGTGAGAGAGACGGGACAAGACACAGTGCTCTCTGCTCAGTGGGTAGAGATGGGAGACCAGATTTCACCACTGAAACCCTTCTGAGAGGTTATTTAAATACCTAGAGCAAGGTGTCCCTGCTGTGAGTCCAGGTGCATCAACCTTTTGAAGAGAATTGGAGTCATCCAGGTGAAGATGAGGATGGTAGAGCCCAAACAAGAGACATGACTAAAACATTTGTGTTAGGTTTATACTCCAGTCTTTTAAGAATTTGATTGGCCTGATGCAGTCCCAGCTTTGGGTGGCACTCAGGATCCCAACAAAATTCAGCCTCCTAACCTGGTAAACAGAGGACAGACTTTGGGCTGTGGGGACCCCACTGAGGCACTGCTACATGGTAAGAAACACCAGTGATTGGTCATTTTCTCTGCAGGATGTTAATGGCTCAACTTCTTTTAATGGTGATGTCAACCATTTGGATGGTTGCTTTCTGTGGCTGGGCCTTAATTTTTCTATCTGTAAAATGGATGGGTTAGACGAGATAATACTGCAGTTGACTTTGACGCAATTAGAAAAAGAATCCCTTCTGGTGAGATTACCCAGAAGAATCTGAATTCTACAAACTTGTCCACCATACTATTATGCTATTATACCATTTTCATAACAATTGTATTCCAGGTGTTGTTTTAAGAAGGCACTCCATGAAAAAATGATTCTGTGGGTTAAAAAAAGATAGAGAAATGCTATCGTATCAGCAGTGTAGAGAGATTCTGGACTAAGGAGGTCCGTTTAGCTCAGTATTTTCTAAATTTACTTGGCAAGCCTATTCTGTCCTTCTTTCTTCCCTTTTTAAAAAGAACATCTATTAAGGTGTTTTATAGAATCTCTTGAAACCCCTTTAGAACAGTGTGCCTGTCTTTTCTAAATTGGCCTTTTCTTGCTCCAGGTCACTCAGCAGCTCCCTGAATATGGTGTGCTGGTTCACCAAGTTCTCCCAGAGAAGACGAGTCTTGAAGGGAAAATGGCCTTGGGGATCTGTGCCAAAGGTCTCATGATATATGAAGTGAAAAACAACAGCAGGATTGCAGCTTTAAGATTTCAGTGGAGAGAAATTGGGAAGATTTCAACTTATGTGAGTATAGCTGATTTGGGAAATGGCCAATGCTTCATTTTCATTTGATCTGTTGCCTAAAGGAACAATGAATGGGTCATGTGATCGCTCCTGACTAGATAGATGAGCTCACAGCCTGCCAGCTAACCTGTGCTTGGATACATTGTGGCCTATTTGGAAGAAGTCCACCAGGGCATTTGAGAGTCTACAAGAGGCCATTTCTTCTCTATAGGCTCCTACCCAGTCCCCCTCGCCCCGCCCCCATACTCCCATGCACAGCCCTCAGCTTAAAGGGCTACTCTTTCACACTGGGTGAATTCTCTTAATGTGAAGAATCCACTGATGTTGAAAGCAAAGTCGGAGGTGGGAGATGGGAGAGTATGACATTTTGTGGGTGCAGTGGAGTCTACAAGGTTTTAAAACATTTCCCTTCTGTTTCAATTTTCCCTTCACAAACTGTGTGCTGAGGCTCCTGGCCTGTCTCCCATGGGCTACAGGTATGCTACAGGACAGTGGTCACTGCAAATCTTTGATACCCATCAAAAGTCTTCAAAGCCTTTTTTTTAAAACCAAAAAATTCCTAGTAAACATGTAACATTTGAAGTTGTATTTGAACATATTTACATGAGTATATATACTTCCTGGATTTGGTTACAGTAAATTTGGCACCAAAGAATGTTGTGTGCCATCACAGCAGAGAATGCTCTGGGATCTAATCTGCTTGTAGCCCTGTGGACCATCCCAGTCAGCACGCCATAACCTCAGCAACAATTCCACTATAAAGCATGACGTTCTTCATCTTATGGCCCTGGAAAAAAATTGAATTCTATTTAATTTTCTTTTATGTTTTGAAAATATTTCTTACTGACTACATTGCTGTTTTTATTGTCATTATCTGATATTAGAGTTTCCTAGGTAGAATGTAATTGCTTAATTCATTTTTCAATGTTTCTTTTGTTTCTTTCATCTTAGCTGTTGAAGTTTACATAGTTAGAGTATTGACAAAATTTTTAAATTATTGTTTGTCTTTAAGAAAACTTACATTTAAAAGTAAATAATAACAGCATAATATAATTGAGTTTATTAAAGTGGACTTTATAGTATCAGGAAAATGACTTTTTCCCAAATACTTTTTTGTATGCCTAAAAATAAACAATATTTATATTTGGGAATTGTTCAGAATTTTAAAGATGTATTACTTTAATTTAATTGAAAGATTATTTAAATAATTTTTATTATTGAATTAATTCAATACTATTGCATTACTCCCTCTTTTATTTACATCATATTTAATTGTTCAAAATTTTCAATGTACCTGTTTTAAAATAAATCTGTGAAAATGCAGATAACATAAAAAGTAATTTTAAAAAATATAATTTTTTGAAGTTGTAAAGTTTAACAATTTCCTTAAGTAATACTTTATATTTCAGTTGGTTTAATTTTTACAGATATTTATTTTCCCCACCACTAAGGATGATCTCTTGATTGCAGCTGAGAAGTCATCAGGTGCACAAGACAAACTTACGAGCTTGAAAAAGACATTGCTACTAATTAGTAGTTTCCATGCACTAATGATCATCCTCTTTCTCAGCATGAATGTCTTTTGTTAAGAGTAAAGTCATCAGGTAAAATAATTTTACCAGCTGCTTGCCACAAACCAGGTGTCTTATACAGAAAATGACTTGGACTCTTCACACTTCTGCAAATGCGAAATAGGGAAGTCTATGAACACTAGGAGAATGAGTTCAGGAAGCTGCTTTGAAATTTGCCTAATTAATAGTGGAAGCCACAATGTTTCAAACAATCACAGATGGTTCATCTTGCTGGCCTGCAGGGAAGTAGCAAAAGAAATAAGGGAAAATTTCCTTTTCAAAGAGTATGATTTGTAGGTGTGTTGGCAGTCTCTTTATGACAGAGACAACACAATTCAGGTTATTCAGTCAAGAAAGTGTTCATTGTAGAATGATATTAGTAACTGTTCTCCATTACTGGCAATAGCTAAAATGTCTGATTAGAAAATGTAGGCTTTGTAGGCCTCTCTCTAAGAAAAAGAATACAAAGTTCAAAACACAACCTGCAGTATACAAGCAAATATTCATTGAGAATGAGAAAAGAAAATGCCACAACTTGTGAATTTAAAAAAGCCGAGCAAATACTGCAGAACTACAAAGGCAAAAAACTAATATATTAACTCCCTGAAAAACTCTATAATTCTTCTTTTCCTTTCAAATTTTTGTTGACATACACTCTGATTACATTTTTATATGACGACAATTTTGTTATATCATTTTTTTCTAGATAAAATAGAAATATAATTTCGTCTTTCTTCTAGCATGGCTGATCAAAGATTGTTTTTATTTTTGATGCATAATACATGTCACTTTGCAGAGACATAGGTGCTCTTTGTAGTGCTGCCATAGATTTTTGTGCTAGAACACTAGAAATCTAATAACTTCCATTTCATGTGATTCCTGACAAAAAAGAAAAATATTGTGTGGTATATTGATAAAGCAGTATATAAAATTAATAAGGTATATTCCTGATAGGACAGAACTTCTACTTGATTGAGTGCTTTTGAGAACTAAATTACAGTTTTTCACTTCTGACAGTTGAAAAGATTTCCCACAGACTGACCTCTGGCTCCATACATTTTAAGCCTAGTTCCCTTCCAGCACAGCTCTGACTGCTTCTGGTGCTGGATATTGTGAGCACTGTCAGTGTCATATGGCTACTGACCTGATATTGTTGTTCTGAGATCTTGAGTGTGCTGACCTAATGGAAGGAGTATTCTGGGATGGCTAGCAATAAGTTATTGCAGAACAGACTGAAAACCACATAAATAAATCCCGCTAAGTCTACACAAGACATTCTCATCTCAGCTTCTCCTTAGTGGGGTCTGCTTCCACACCACACACCACCTGTCATGAGGAGGAGTGAGAACAAGCTGGAGTGGAAAGAAGAATCAATAATCTTAACTGATAATGGTGAAAGCACATTTTCCCCACATTTTACAAGAAAGCACAGAGACTTTGCCAGGCTCTCTCCTGGGAAGTAACCTGCCCAACTGAGGGCCCTGGAGCTTTGGCTTCTTTAGCTTCATGGCAAATCCACCTCTGCCAGGAAGAATATCATTGTTCTGCAAAGATATATCAAAGCAAACAAACCAGAGTGTGAACAAGCAGCAAGGACAATTAAACTATTGAGGATGAAATGTTTGAAATGGTAAACCAATACTTTGAAAAAAATATGACACTTTGGAAGTACTAGTATGTTTGTATTCCAACCACAGGAATGTAAATAAATTCTCCATGTTCTTGCTGAAAACCCAGAGGTTCAGATTATATATCATTTTATTTACTTATGGCCCTTGAGAAAATTTGCCTGCAGATATGAATTTCTCATTAAACGATGTTATCAAGATGGAAAAAAAATCCAAACCATACGGTCAAGTTTGTTTTCAGCTTTATGCCAAGAAATGAGATCAGAATTCCTTTCACTGTGGTGTTTAATACTTTAGACTGAGCATTGATGTCCAAAGGGAGAGTTTTGCTGAGAGTTTATGAGCTGAAAGATCAAGGTGTGTGTGTGCATATGTGTGTGAGAATGATTTTCTCTTTTCATATTTGTTAAAGAATAGCTATTAAGATTGTAAAAAATAACTTAACTAAAATTTATTAACACCAGAGTGAACTTAATGTAACATTGTCAGGACTATATAAAAGCGTATCAATAATGTACTGACAAAGTAGATAAATAAAACGATCCACTACTGGAGTTTAGGCATTATTATAATTTAAATACTAAGGAAGAATTATTAAGGCTAGTGGGACAGCATCTATCAATGTTTGAGAAAATACATTATTAAAAAATAGTAGATATAGTTCAATTGGATTCAAAATCCATTCATGTTAGTATAATAAGGTTCAACATTATACTTGTCAATAAAAAAAAAGAATATTTAGAGAATGCTGAAATTATCTAAAATTGGTTAATGATAAAAGGAATTTCTGGGAGAAAATGCAATGAATAGTTATCTGCCTTTTGCTAATAATATAGACTTGTGTGAATGGGGCTCCTTAGAAAGGGCAACCATCATGAATTAAAGGGATCAACATTAAAGAAGATCAGGAGTTTCAGAGAGCCCTTTCAAGCAAAAACCCTATATTTACTAACTTGTCTTCATAGGAGCAACTCACGGTTCTTATGAAAATATCTAGAAAATCAAATATATATATTTTATTTGGAAGTTATATATAAATTTATACTTAATGTAATCTATATTACTTTGTATTTTATTATTCTCCTTGGAATTATGTATTACAAAAAGTTCTGAAATTTTTCCATGAAGTTCCATATAGATAACCCCATGCAGATAATCCTTTCCAGTTTATCCCAATGAGCTGTACAAATGTTATCACTTTGTATGTGGGCCTTGGGGGTATAAACATGGGGGGAGTGTTTTGTGTTGGTGTGACCTCAATTCCTGCTGCATTTTCAGAACTAGTGGTCTGTTACCTCATCTGTAGAATAAGGATCATGTTAGGACTTCCTTCATTCTGAAGCTTTGAGGGGGAAATAAATTAATACCCAGAAAACAGTTAGAAGAGAAATTGGCTCATAATTGTAAGAAATATGAGAATATATACAGTGTTTTTATCTTTTCTATAACCCCACTAGCTGAAATTTTGCCTACAGCTTCTGAGAGTTTATACAATGAAAACTATTTTTATATTTAATGACCTTCAAAACGTACACTGAGGATTATGTTCACTCCTTGCTCGGGACCAAGTGTATGTGTATCTGACTCATTTTGTATTCTTTTCATGTAGCACACTTTGGTGGGTAGAAGTCACCTGATAAACAAAGATCCAATTTATGAATGAAGGAAAAATAAAAAGAGGGATTTTTCTAAATCAGAGAAAAATTATTGAGCCATAATCAGACAATATGTGCCATATATTTCTTATGCCTAGTACCTCGATATTGAACGAGGCCCAGTATTTGATTACTCTGGCAGTTGTGCTTTAATGTGTAAGGATGATCAATAGATTAATGTCTGTGTTTGCTTCCTTCAGCGAAAGAAGTTTGCCATCACAAGCATTACTGGGAAAAAACACACATTTGTCACTGATTCGGTCAAGACCTGCAAATATTTACTGGGCCTCTGCTCTGCCCAGCATAGTTTTAATGCTCAAATGAACACTCCCCAAGTTGCAACTGGTGAGTAGACACTATGTTCTCAACCTGCAGAGATTTGGCTTTGAGAGATGGATTTATCACATTTGCCACTGCTGATCTCTAATCATCATTTCTTATTGCAAAAAGCAGGATTTCCTTCTTTTTAATAGCTGAATAATACTCCATTGTCTATATAACCACATTTTCTTTTTCCATTCATCTGTTGATGGACACATAGTCTGTTTCTATATTTTGGCTATTATGAATAATGCTGCAGCGAACATGGGAGTGCAGAGATCTCTTCAATAGCCTGTTTTCACTTCCTTCAAGTACCTAACCAGAAGTAAAATTTCTGAATCATATGGTAGTTCTATTTTTAATTTTTTGAGGAACTTCCATGCTTTTTTCTGTAGTGACTGTACCAAATTACATCCCCACACCCCGCAACAGTGCACAAGGGCTCCCGTTTGTCCATATCCTCACCAGTTCTTGTTATCGTTTGCCTTTTTGATGGTAGACATTCTAACGGATATAAGGTGATATCTCATTGTGGTTTTGATTTGCATTTCCCTGATGATTAGTGATGTTGAACATCTTTTCATGTACCTCTTGGATATTTGTATGTGTTCTTTAGAAAAATTAAACAATTTTTCTTTGTATTTAAAAATATTTTTTCACAGTAGAAACTTTCTCTCTATATACCATTTTCAGTGCATCCAGGTGAGAACTAGGCATCTTCATTTGATGGCCCCACAGAGTCCTCAAACTCATTGTATCTGCAGTTGACCTCATCCTCCCACACAAATTCCTCTACCTTGGGAGCGTCTGGACCTGCACCCTCTCTTCCCACTTCTCTTGTCACCAAGTCCTGGGAGTCACGTGTCAAAGACATCTTGCTCTCAGCCTGAAAATGGCAAAAGGACCAATCCAATCATATTCTCCCACAGTGAAAATTTGTCAATGGGTCTCTGCTATCTGTAAGTACAAGCTCAGATTTCGTAGGATAGCACATCAGATCCTTGCCATTTGACCCAGCCCTGACTTAGTCGTGCTGCGACTCCTTCACTCTGCTTCTAGCTACATTGCTTGCTGGCTTGCAGACTGCTGAACACACAGGGTATCTCAGTTCTGGGGCCTTTGTGCTCAGCACCGCCTCTGTCCATACAGCTGTTGCTGCCCCCTACCAGACGCAGGCCACTAAGATAAGCCCTATTCTGCAAAAATGAGTTCAAGGATAGCCTTTTCTAAAGTTCTCTTGATTGGCTGCCCCATCCTTCCCTCATAGGTGTTGAGCACACCCTCTTTAGTGCAGACTCCCTCTTTTCACCTGCTTTCTCCATCCCTTGTATCTGCGGCTCTGCCTGCCTCCAGTCTGCAGGGAGGGGCAGTGCCCCACTGCCTTCACAGCTCCAGGACAGAGCAGAGGTGTGTCAAGTGGGAGGTGCTCAGTGCAGGTTTTTGGGGTTTTAAAAAAAAGTTAATGTATGATTAGTGTGGAAGTACAATCATTTGCTTCATCATTTTCCTATTTTGATTTTAAGTTGCATTTCATTCTTCAATATTCTAAGCAATATTGCAATAAAATCATTGAAATAAAAATTTTCTGTACCTTGGAATACCTTTAAACTAGGTCTTGGAAGTGTAATTATTGGGTACAAAGGCTGGGGGCATTTTTAAGATCCTTGCTGTTTTCCCCAGTTCCCATGCCCATTTCACTACATCCTTGCCAGAAGGGATAGTATCATGTCTATCTTTGCCCATTTGATAGGTAAAATAATGTCTCATTTGGCATTTTTCTTTTATAGTTGAGAAGTTGAACATTTTCCAAATGTTTCTTAGTCATTCTTCAGTGAGTTGTGTTAATGAGCATAATAACTTTTTAGTTTTATTTGGTGCCCAGGGGAGAGAGTACAATCTTCATGTTTTCACAAGTGCACAATTTCAGGACTAAGTCAAGCAGGCTCTGTCAGCCCCTTCAGATGGGTGGCATGGCTGCAGGGATGCTGTTGCTCCTGCAGCTTGTGGCTGTAGGACTCTGCACCTCTTCAGTGGGTGGCCCAGGGTCCGGCCCTGGTTCCCTTTCCATTTTCTTCATGGCCCCTGGTTCTGGTGGCTCCGGTGCTCTTGAAACACTGTAACTAACCTAGACTACAGAGCTTGGCATCCAAACTAATTTGGACATTTGTCAGCTGCTTTCCTGGTGCCACAGTTATTCTGTGAGTCACCCACGGCCAGTGGACAGAAACTACTCATTCTCCTTGGCATGCTGGTTGGTGGTTTTGGAACATTCTTTGCAATGCTTCCTTCCATTCCTGAAAGGTTATCAACTCTTGGCTTTCCTCCCTTAGTTATCAATTCTTCCTTCACTGCTTGTCTAGCCACTTGAACTCTACGAAGCTAGGGCCTAATAGTTATAGCACACTCCCCACCAGCCCAACAAGCTTTGGCTTTGTGCCGAGTGTCTGATGCTAATTGCATGACATCTATGTTCTTCTTCCCTGACCTCACTCTGTGGCCTTTGTCCTTCCCAGGGCCCTGATGGTCTCAGGTTTCTTGCTGGGAACAACCCTGCCAAGAGCCCACAGTGGCTCTCCTCTGCAACTTCTACGAGCCCCTCCCCTATCGCCTACGGAGATAGCCCCTCCTTCCTGTACCCTCAACCTCTGTGCAGAGGCTTCCTTCAAACCCATTAAACCTCTCTGACCTGAGACCCTGCCACCGCCATCTCTCCCTAGAATGTCCACTGTATTACTATCTACCATGATTAAGCCTAAGCTCACAGTCCCTTTGGGCCTAGCAGTCAGAATGCTAGTCTAGGCATGACTCAGATGAATTTTATGTGCTTCTGGGTTAGCCTCTTCACTCTTAGCATATCCATTTTCTGGTGTGGAGTGTGGGGTCAGCCGACTTGACTGTGAGTTTTGCTCTACCACTTACCAGTCCTGGGACTTTGAGGAAATTTTTAACTCTCCCTCAGCCTCAAGTTTCCCCATCTATAAGGTGGGTATAATAATATCTACTCCACAGGGTTATTGTGAGGATGAAATGATACAGTGCTGAGAATAGGCTTACCACTGTGCCTGGCATATCATAAGCATTCAGTGTGTGAGGTGTTTCCAGAAAATATCCAGCCAAATCCTGTGAAAAATAAAGACATTTATTGAAGAAGATACAAGATACAGAAACATTGTATATAGGACAATGATGCCTCAGTCCCCTTCAAAGTAGGCACGTTGAGACCTCATATAATTCTCCCAGTCTCCATCAGCTGCTTGATTATATTTTCCTGAATCAAAGATCTGAAATCCCTTCCCTTTCAAAGGTGATTTTAGTTTTGGGAAAAGCCAGAAGTCACAGAGCAGCAAATCTGGGCTGTAAGGGGCTGAGTCACCTGGGTGATTTGATGTTTTGCCAAAAAACTCTGCATGAGATGTGATGATGAGCAGGTGCGTTGTTGTGATGAAGCTGCCAATCACCAGTTGCCAAGAGCTGCAGCCTTCTGAATCATCAAAATAGTTTCCACGGAGGAATATTCAAGCTTAACACAAAATCTGATGCAGATTCGTTGCTCTACTCACTCAGTCATTTTGAATGTGAGGCCATACCGTACACGTGCTTACTCAACCGCGTTTACTGCCCTCTTTGACTAGCACGGTGAAGTCATCATTTTTCGTGCATGTGCATTCCAGTCCACCATCCTTGGCTGCCAGATTGGGCAAACTGTTCTCATTATATTAACAAAGGCTGGACTTTTTCCAGACAGACTTCATATATGAGTTGTTTGTGTTGAGGTTACCATTGTTGCTGTGTATCTAAAAAGATCCAAAATCTGGAGTAAGAGACTATGCAATTTGTGCAAAAGCTGCAGGTCATTTTAAATTGTTTATATTCCTCCATTTTTTTCTGTTTCACTGTATGTGAGTCATGATACCAAATGCCTCATAGACATAGAAAGTTCAAAACAAAGTATTTTTAAGTATTTTTAACTGCTACCTGTTTCAGTGGGCAGAGTCCTAGCAATGGATCAGACACCGCTGTAGGGAAGGTGGGTGTCTGCTTGAGGAAACCGTGCCCACAGCCACCCTCACAGTGGAGGCACTGCACTGGCCTTTACACACACACAAAACCAGAGCCACGCAAACCCCACATGGCTGAGCACTCTTTCCTTCGTGGTTTTAGCAGGGAGAAGTTGACCACAATATAGTCATTATTTTCTTCTTCTCAAAATGCAAATTGGGCTTTGTAAAAGCATAGTTAATTTACAAGATCTATGTACCAAATCTCAATTTCTTATGAATGACACGAATAGTGACTCACATTCACCGTCTTAAGTTAGGGACTTCATTAGAATCATTTATTACATCTTTCTACATGAAGGGAGTGTTAAAGCTGGAGGGACTCAACATATGTGATATGCATTCACATTTCTGAAAATCTGATTTTAATTTAAATATTATTACCAGGGAGCTAAGCTATGTAGAGATTGAAGATTATATTTCACAGAGCAAAGCCCAATTTGGGAGCCCAGGTAATTTGAAGGCCCATTTGTTACAACAGTATTTATGAGGACAGTTTTGTGAAGGCAGCAAGCAGAACAGATGGTGGCAGTTAATGTTATAGAGGACTCTGCTGGCACAGTCACATTGCTGTGGATGCTATCGGGTTTGCACACATTAGAACATTGGATCAGAGTCCTGTCAGCTACAGCAGGAGGGCGAGCATTATGTCTCTGAGGTTTCTCTCATTAATGAGTGCTAATTGTGGAGACTTGGCAGTCTCAGTGCCCATCACAAGAGAAAGTTCACCTGAGGAAAAAGAGCAGTTAAAGAAAAGAGAGAACACAATGTGGGGCCTGGGATGTGCTGCTGCCACGAGAGCGAGCAATGGAGCCAGCACCATTCTTGTGTTTATTTTTATCTTTTTCTCCCAAATTTTAGACTATGATAAGTGTGTGCAAATGGCCAATTTGAGTCTTGCACACCCGGCCCGGTCCAAGCCTCTCACTTGGATTCAGACATTGTCATGCTCAGAAAGTGTGCTGTTGTCACCCAGGCTGGAGGACCCTACAGGAAGACTGCTGTGCGCATCACTGGGCAGAGTCACCGTGGACACCTGCGGGGAGACAGGAGCACTAGAAATTGGAAGCAGGTGGGCTTGACACATCTTTTTCCTGGGCCCAAACCACCATGTTTACGGTGTTTCAAAGCAATTTATTCTTAAAAAAACTGTTTAAAGGATGTCAGATGTCTAAGGAAAGTACACATTCACTGAATAACTAGCCACTAATTCTGCAGAGATTTCCCAAAGGCTGACTATGGGAAAAGTCTGCTAAACACTAGAGGGCAGATATTCCATCTCCCTACTACGCATTGCTATCTTTTGGTGGAGAAAGAATTAGGTGACAATACAAAATTAAAGAGGACAAAATAAATAAGTTGCAATAAGCATATTTGGTCTTATCATGAGCCAGGTACTGTTCTAAGCAAGTGTATACATCAATTAACCCTCACAACCCTCTTAAGTAATTTCTATTGTTTTACCAATCCTACAGGAGGAGAAAAGGTTTGGGATTTGAACCCTCACAGCTGACCCTAGAGTCTGTTACTCCCAATCTCTGCACTATGGTACTTTCTCTGTTGATGGATTGTTTGTGATTTCATTTTCAAGTGAAAATAATGAGCTTACAAACACAACTTGCATTATAACACAATGATTCATAAATTTAAAAATAGCCTGGAATTGGATTACACTTACATGGCAACTATATAAATAGCACAGATTCACAGGCAGCACCTGACCAATGAAGTCTGCTGAAGGACTGTTTTTTCTGGATGAGTTATACATCTGCTTCAGCAAGTGGGTATGGACAATTCATCTGAACTTTGACATCTTAAAGTAATTCTTAAAAATTATTGCCCCAAATTCTGTTAATGCAAATATGTATCACTATGTACTGTAAACCAAATCAATAATGATGAAGTAAACTGTGTCTATTGCTGTGTAATAAACCATTCCAAAGCACAGTGGCTGAAAACAATCACTATTTTGTTACTGTATTTCATAGTTTTCTGGGTTAGAAATTCAAGCATGGCTTAGCTGGTTGAATCTTCTCCTTCACATGGTGTTGACTGGAGTCAGCAGGACTGGTCTGGAGGCTTCAAGACAGCTGTGCTCTTGTGCTCAGGCTCATGGGGGGGATGACTGGGGTGGTGAGCTCAGCTGGGCCCTCTCACTCCCATGGAATCTCAGGACTTCCCCATGTGGTACCTCCAGCAAGGTAGTCAGGCTCCTACATGGCAGATCAGGGCTCCAAGGGCCCAAGGTGGGACTGCCAGTCTTTTTAAAGGCTGAGACTAGAGCTGGCACAGCATCACTTCCGCCATACTCTTTTGGTCAAGTAGTCACAGATCAATACAGATTTAACAGTAGCAGAGACACTCCACCTCTTGATGTAAGAGTATCCAAGAATTTGTGGCTATCTTTAATCTGTTATTTAAAGTAATGATATTTTATAGCTGTTTATAGTTTAAAAGCCGAAAGAAGCTGTGACTGGCTCAAGGTCACCTTGAGAATGTGTTGATTGCAAAGTATGCTTCCTGAGGATGGTGGGGCTTCTAATGACCTACTGGTGGGTAGGCACAGCAGGGGCTTTGAAGCATTGCATGGGAGCCGGCCTTCTCAACAGAAAGCTGAATTAACATCCTCAGTAAACTCTAATACTATTCTAATTTTAGTTTACAAGTGCCAAATTTTTATAGCCCTTTAATAACTCACTTCAGAGGTTGCTATTAACCTTTATATGAAAAGGGTATTCTAAGGTCCTTGGTCATCTGGAAGGCCCCCAGAAATAGCTGGAGAAATGACTTGGTTGCAGATGGTTTTTGTGGAGGTGATTCCAGGAAATAGGAGTGAGTGTGGAGAGAGAGACAGGGAAGAAGGGAAGGTCAAAAACAACAGGGACGGCAGGGAGGCAGTGTCATCAAGGTAGTTGTTGTGGACATACAGGATATAATTTTCAATGGGATTGTAAGAAGCCCTCCAGAATTGCTTGTCTGAAGGACAGAAGGATGGGCACTTATGCAGGCATTGCTTTCACCATCCTCAGGTGGAAGATTGTCTGGGAGGTATTAACTCTCCTATACATTTGGGCAAGTGGGAACAGTGGAGGTAGGGGGCACCCAAGGTGTACAAGAAACTCTAGGACAGGGGGACCAAATTTGAGGCAGCATGTTGTCAGCATGAGCCAAGCCTGAGCTCACATGGAACTGCCCAACGTTGCTAAGGTCATAGTCTGGGGTGGGCCGAGGGTTGACATCCTTCCAGTTCCTTTGTCTCTGTGACATGGGCTAGACATTTAGCAATTCTGCTGTGGCTGGTATGAAGGTGGCTCAGCCATGGATTGCCTTTAGACAGAATTCTGGAGTGAGCCCAGTGTTTCGAAATCCAGTACCAATACCTGCTCAGCTGTCTACTGCTCTGTGAGCTTGATCAAGTTATTTACCACACCTATGCCTCAGTTTCCTCATTTGTCCAGTGATAATAACAGAATACCCACCCCACTGGGTGGCTGTGGGAATGAAATGGTGTTTTAAAACAATGAACATGGCTGAGTCAGCAGCAAGTGTCCTGATGTTGGTGCTCTTCTTGTCGCAGGGGAAGACTTTAGGAACACAGTCCCTCTTAAGGGCATAGTATGGGTTTAGTGTCTAAGACAGACACAGATACAGCAGTGTTATGACTCCCTGGATGGTGAGGTTATTTCCCAGTAAGGGGGCTGGAGAGGGCTACAGGGGGAATCTGACACCTGTGGGAGGAGAAGGAAGGGGGATATGCAGGAATGCCATGAGCAAGAGCCCAGCAGTACTGCTAGAAAATTAGTTGAGCACCTGCTGTGTGCCTGCCCTGGGCTAGGTGCTGAGGAGTCATCAGTGAGCAGGACATAGTCCCTGCCCCATGGTGTTCTCACAGGTGACAGCACAGGGCCTGTGTGCACAGGAGCTGTTCATGCCGTGGACCTGGAGTTCAGGGCATGTGACTGAATGGTCCAGAGCCAGGACAGGAAGGATGGGACTGCACGCAGGCATTTACATGGAAGAGAGGGGCCTCCATCCCCAGGGCCATTCCTGAGCAGGTGCCTACTCAGAGGCCCTGAGGATAACGACACCAGGAGTGCCAGTCCTGATATACAATTCCTGCCCTGCCCACCCTTCTCCACCAGAAAGCCGACCACCTACTTCCTCATTACCTTTTCTTTGGCAAAAGGGTGCCTCCTTGATGTCACAGGCTCCCTTTAGATTAGCTTCCCCATCCTCCCTTCACCCCAACACCCACAAGCATTTATCTGTGTGTCCTGTTAAACAATGAACTTCCAGACAAGAGCAACATGCCTGTTTTTTCCTCAGCTTTCAGACCAGCATGTAGAGGCTTTCAGTAAACGTTTTTTAGGTTTGCATTGTAAAAAGCTTATTTTAACTGCGATAAAATGAACATAACATAAAATTTACTATTTAACCATTTAAAAATATTTTTAAAATTAAATTTATTAGGGTGACATTTTTAATAAAATTATGTCAGTTTCAAGTGTACAATTCTATGATACTTTATCTATATAATGTATTCTGTGCCCACCCAAAATCAAATCTTCTGTCACTATATATTTGACCCTTCTTTACCCTTTACTCCTTCCCCCCCAATCCCTTTCCCTCTGCTAACCACCATACTGTTATCTGTGTCTATGAGTTTTTGTTTGCTTTGTTTGTTCGCTTGTTGCTTTCAGTTTTATATCCCACTCATGAGTGAAGTCATATGATTCTTTACTTTTTACACCTGACTTACTTTGTTTAGCATGATATTCTCAAGATCAACCCATATAGTCACAAAAGTCAGTATTTCATCTTTTTTTATGGCTGAGTAGTATTCCGTTGTATACATGTACACCGCATCTTTTTCCAATCATCTATCAAATGGCATTTTAGTTGTTTCCATGTCTTGGCCACCTTGAATAATGCTGCAATAAACACAGAGGTGCATATACCTTGTGAATAAATGTTTTCAAATTTTAGGGGTAGATATTGAGAAGAGGGGTCGCTGGGCCATATAGTAACTTTATTCTTAATGTTTGAGGAAACTCCATACTGATTGCCATAGTACCAGTTTACATTCCCACCAGCAGCGAATGAGGGTTCCTTTTTCTCCGCAACTTCTCAACACTTGTAATTACTTATTTTGTTGTGAATAGCCATTCAAACAGATATGAGGTGGTATTTCATTGTAGTTTTGATTTACATTTTCCTAATAGTGAATGAGTTTGAGCATCTTTTCATATATCTGTTGGTCATTTGTATGTCTTCTTGGGAGAGGCATCTTTTCAGATCCTCTGTCCATTTTTTAAATTGGATTTGGTTGTTGTTGTTAAGTTGTATGAGTTCTTTATATATTTTGGATATTAACCCATTATGGGAGGTGTTATTTACAAATACATTCTCTCATTTGGTTGATTGCCTTTTTGACTTATTGATAGTTTCTTTTGCTATGCAAAGCTTTTAAGTTTGACATAGTCCTATTCATTTATTTTTGCTTTTACTTCCCTTGCCTTTGAAGTCAAATTCATAAGACCAAGGTCAATGAGTTTAGTATGTTTTCTCTTATGTATTTTATTGTTTCAGGTCATATATTTAGCTCTTTGACTTATTTTGAGTTAGTTTTTGTGTATGGTGACAAATAGCAGTCCAGTTTTATTTATTTATTTGCATGGGAGCTTTCCAGTTCTCCCCAATCCATTTATTGAAGTCTTTCTTTTCTTTTTTTTTAATATATATATTTTATCCTCAATCAAGGTCATTTTTTCATTGCAGAAAGAGAGAGAATGAGAGAGAGAAAGAAAGGTCAATTGGTTGTCTCCCACACATGCTCCAACCAGGGATCGAACCTCTAGCTCAGTCATGTGCCCTGACTGAGAATCAAACCCTCAACCTCTTAGTGCAGGGGACGACACTCCAACCAACTGAGGCACACTGGTCAGGGCTTTTTATTGTCTGATTTTGGATCCTTCATAGAAAGTTCTTTACCCATATACATGTGGATTTACTTCTGGGCTCTCAATTCTGTTTCATTGGTCTGAGTGCCTGTTTTTCTGCCAATACCATGCTGTATTAATTATTGTTGCTTTGTAGTATAATTTGAAGTTAGGGAATATGCTACCTTTGCTTTCATTCTTTTTTTTTCTTCTCAGGATTGCTTTCCTATTTGGGGACTTTTGTGGTTGCATACAATTGTGATCATTTTTAAAAATTCTATTTATTTAAAGAATGCCATTGGGATTTTGATGGGGATTCCATTAGATCTGTACATTGCTGTGGATAATATGGACATTTTAATTATGTTGAGTCTTCCAATCCATGAACATGGACTTTGTGTCTTATTCAATTCCTTTTAATAATGTCTTGGAGTTTTCAGTCTATAGGTCCTTCACATCCTTTGTTAACTTTATTCCTAGGTATTTTATTCTTTTGGTTGCAATTGCAAGAGGAATTTTCTTTTCATTTCTTTTTCTAAAATTTCATTGTTAGTATATAGGAATGCAAGGATTTTTGCACATTGATTTTGTATCCTACAAATTTACTGTATTTGTTTATTGCTTCTAATAATTTCTTGGTGGAATTGTTAGAGTTTTCTTGTAAAGAATCATGTTGTCTGCAAAAGTAACAATTTTATTTTTTCATTTTCAATTTGGATGCCTTTTATTTCTTTTTCCTGTCTGATTGCTCTGGCTAGAACTTCCAGTACTATGTTGAATAACATTGGTGAGAGTGGGCATTCTTGCCTTATTCCTGATCTTAGAGGAAAAAAGCTTTCACTTTTTCAGCATCAAGTATGATATTAGATGTGGGTTTGTCATATATATGGCTTTTATTCTATACCCATTTTATTGAGTGTTTTAATCATAAATGTATCTTGTCAAATGCTTTTTCTGCATCTGTTGATATGATCATATGACTTTTATCCTTTATTTTGTTAATGTGGTGTATCACATTGATCAATTTGCTTATTTTGGACCACACTTGTGCCCCTGGAATGAATCCCATTTGATCATGATATATTATCTTTCTAATATATTGTTGTATTTTATTTGCTAGCATTTTGTTTAGGATTTTTGCATCTGAATTCTTCAGAGATTTGGGCTTGTGGTTTTCTTTTTTGTGTGTTATCCTTGAGAGACTTTGTATCAGATAATGTTAGTTTCACAAAATGTGTTAGGAAGTACTGCTTCTTCAATTTTTTTGAAAGAATTTGAGAAAGGTGGGTATTAAATATTCTCTAAATGCTTGGTAGAATTTACTAGTAAAAACATCTGGTCCTGGACTTTTACTTTTTGGGGAGGTTTTAGATGATTGGTTCAATTTCCTTACAGTTCATTGCTCTATTGAGATTTTCCAGTTCTTCATGATTCAGTGTAGGAAGGCCATACGTTTCTAAAGACATGTCTATTTTTTTTGTAGGTTATTGAATTTGGTAGCATATAGTTTTCTGCAGTATTCTTGTATGATCCTTTCTATTTCTGTGGTGTCTGTTGTAATTCTATTTCATTCATTCATTCATTCATAGGAAGGGAGAGAGAAAAAGAAAGAAAAATCAATGATTGAGAGATCATTGAAAGACAATCAATGGTTGCCTTCCATATGCACCCCAACTGGGGATCAAAGTCGTAACCTAGGTATGTGCCCTGAATCAAACCAGGAGTTGAACTGGTGACCTTTTGCTTTGTGGAACAATGCCCAACCAACTGATCCACACTGATTTCATTTCTGAGTTTGTTTATTTGAGTCTTTTCTCTTTTTTCCTTAGTACCTAGACAGAATTTTGTCAATTTTATTTATCTTTTCAAATAAGCAGCTTTCTTACCCATTTTTAAATTTACAATTTACTACTGTTAATTATATTCTCATTGTTGTGCAACTAATGTCCAGAATTGTTTTTATCCAGCAAAACTGAAAGCATACCTATTAAACAACAACTCTCATTTCCCTGTTCATGAACCCCTGGAGATAACCTTTCTACTTTCCCTCTCTATGAATTTGATGACTTCAGACATTTCATATGAGTGGAATCATGCAGTGTTTGTCCTTTAGTGATTGGCAGTAGACCCTGGTCCTTATTCTTTTTAAGCAATAGAATTGCATGTGTGGCCCAGATTACATGGCTTTTTCTAGGGCTTTGAGCACCCGTGGCTTTGCATCTATTCTTTCTTCTCATTCTCTGCTTTCCTCATCCCTAAATGTAGTTTATCTCATGCAGAGCTCACCTCTGAGGTGGGGCAGGGTTTCCACTTAATTTATTAATCTCGTTGGGCCTTGAACATTCCTTTTTTATTTTTTTAAACTAGAATCCTGGCTCAGCCAAGGTCACTTGAATGCCTACATGAAATGTTTTGTTTTCAGCTTGTTATGATCAGGGGACAGATAGACCAAAAGCCTACAAGGATCAAACAGATACATTCTGTGTGGAGCCCTCAGGGGCACATAGTTTGGGGTGCTGGAGCATGCCCTGTCAGCTAAAAACAAAACCAAACAACAAAAATCAGAACTGCCTGAAAGATTCATGTTTTACACTTGCTACCTCATTTTGGAGCCATCACAAGCCTGGGAAATAGAAATCTGATGCCTATTTAATGGTTAAGAAAGCGGAGGTTTTGAGGGGCCACAAATCCAGTCAAAATGAGAGACGGTGGGAGACCTGGGTAACTTTTGGATCCTTTCTAAAAAATAGAGACCCCAAGACACTCCTCCTGGTGCACTCTTCATAACCAGATCAGCCCTTCACAGGGTCTGTCTACAGATCTGCTGCCTTCTCCAGGCCACCATCTGTCCTCAGGGACTCCAGGAAGTTGCCTCCTAGGGACGTATTATCTCATCTTGCTGTCTTCCCTTCCAGCCCCAGCACTGGCGAGGAGCAACAAAAGAGCATCTCTTTGATCCAGAAGCCAACAACTTGTGACCCCCCTCTCTGGGCTGCCTGTTCAGAGTGTGTGCACAGGTATGGGCCAGGCAATGGGCTAGGTCAGGGACTAAGTTTGGGGTAAAGGAAATCTTACACATGATGCTTGCTTTAAATCTTTTGCCACCACTCAGTTTGCTTCCCCAGTAATGTTTATAATTGTTTTGTTTTAAAAAATTATTTTCAAAACTACTTTTGGTTGGAAAGAGAACTTACAGTCCACTGTTGGCTGGGGCTTGGTGTCTGGGCTTAAAATGTGCTATGTTGAAGTTTCCTAGCACTCAGATCCAGTATGAGGACTACCTGCTGTGGAGCAGTATGGTTAGAAAAATGCATCATCCATTTTAGTTACAACTCTTCTTGCAGGCCATAATATGACCTCCCAGTATTCACTAGAAAACCTATACAGGGTCAACACCATTCCTCTCTGTCGTAATCTTCTGGGCTAGTCCCTAAAGGACTGTATAAACACAGAGATTCCAGAACTAGACAAATACTTAGTTAATGAGCATTAAACCTAGGTATTGGATCTGGAATACTGCTAGTGCCTCTTTACCATGAACTGTCTGCCAGATCTCACCATGGTTCCTGGGGGAGGGAGAGTAGGGAAAGCAGTGGGTGGTATGTCACCATTTGGTAGTTTTCCCATGTGCTCCTGTGAAGCATTAGAGTGCCTGCTCCGGGGCTCCAGCTCCCTTGAACACCCTCATAGCTCTGCTTTGAGTTTCCTCCAGGAACAAAGCTGGGGGAAGCCCTACAGGGCATCTGCACTGGGTGCCATATCACCCCTTGATTAGAGACCTAGAGGGGTAAGGCTTTGGTGTCTCATCTCTAATTATAATTTTAGTTTTCACTGTCGTCAAGTACATCTCTGCTCAAACTCTGCCTTGTCCTAAGCCCAGTGCAAAAAAAAAAAAGAGAGTACTATAATAAGTCCTACAGAAAACACAAACATGGCCCCTGCTACCTTTGCCTCTGCTCCTGCTGAGCCAACACTGAGTGAGCTCATTAGAACTGTTCAATTATCCATTCCCTGTATTGTGTGTATATATGCACGTGTGTGCCTGACTGAGCACATGTTCACCCCTGTTGTATTAGATCTCAGGTAACTGGGGAGGAAATCACAATGTGGGGCTCTGTCTTGATTTCTAGGGTCACAAAATAATAGAACGAGTTTCACAGCTGGACTGGATCAAGAAATCATGCATGTGAAACTGAGCCAGGATCCACGTCTTGATTTTGGTAAGAGGGATCCTGGCAGATGAAACCAGTCTCTTCCTCTGGGTAGAGAGCAGTGTGTGCCAGCTTCCTTTCTGACTTTTCTACTAATTTTCTGCTTCTTCTCTTCCAATTTGTCTTTTCTTTGGGTAAAAGTTTTCCTTTTTGGGGTACATATTGGGAGAATCTGAGTACATGGTAGAAAAGGACTCCCCTCCAATATCATGTAATGTCCTTTTTCTAGTATATTTAGATTCTTAGTTATGGGGAAAAAAATCTAGTCCATTTTTTTCATGTCTTACTATTTACCACATTTGAAGACCCTTAAAACCATGTAAGAAACGAGACACTGAGCAGATCATCTCTTTCATATATCTGCTTATATGCTGGAGCGAATTCAGTGCACATTGATGGGCTATGTTCCTAGTTTAAGCTATGCTTACTAATACAGGGCAAAGCACTTTTCTCCATGAGTCTTGGCAGAGTAGAAAGAGCTGTTTGAGGGTCAGAGGACCTATGTACAAATGTCATTGATGTCACTTGGTAGCTGTGTGATCTCAAGCAAATAACCTAACCTCTCTGAACTGCAAAATCATTAAGTATCATCTTTTTAACTATCATTGGACTACAGGTTTTGTCATTAATGAGGGAGAATATGTAGGCAAAGTTGACCCTGGAATCTTTATAGCCTCAATTATACCTGGGGGACCAGCTGAAAAGGCTAAAAAGATCAAACCAGGTATGCCTTTTTAAATTGCCTGAGATACAGCATTAATTTCCTTGATGGTATTGCTGAGATGTTTTATTTTTCCAGGAGGGCAGATACTAGCATTGAATCACATCAGTCTGGAGGGCTTCACATTCAACATGGCTGTTAGAATGATTCAGAATTCTCCTGACAACATAGAATTAATCACTTCTCAGTCAAAATGTATGTTGTTATCTGCTTTCAGAAGCTGGCAAGCTTCTTCATTTTCAGTGTACACATACCACAGGATTTTGGATCTTTGAGTCCATGAGGTCTTTTTCATTGCTTTCCTCGTGGTAGTGGCTTGCAAAGAAGGGATGAAGCGGCAGAGTAATTAAACTCTGCAACTACAGGGCAGAACAGGCTCTACCATTGCTTACCCTGCCGAACAGGAGCAGCTAGCTCTAGTTCATCATTAGACATGGTTGGTACAGCAATTGCGCGTTTCTCTGCCCACTCTTCTTGTATGACAAGGAGGACATTCTTTATGTCATCCAAGTCCTTATTGAAAGTGGCTGCTCCAGGATCCTATGTAGTTTAGACAGTCAGGTGAGAAGAAGACTGGGAACTGTTCTTAAAGCTGAATTTGCATAGCAAGCATGCTGCCTTACTTGGTTAAGACTTGGCATGTTAGAGATCAACAAATAAAGTGAAGTTTTTTAAAAGATGCTTTTATTTTTCCTTAGATACATATGAAAGGGAGGGCAGCAATGACCATATCAAACAATAATGTTAATATGTTTATTTGGGCAGGTTTGGGGAGTAATGTAGATAATAAGGGAAGGTTAAAATCCCCTCCGCTCCCCTTTACCTGGGACCACTGCTGCTTTTTGGTTGCACGATCCTGTAATTTAACAGCATGCTGCCTGCAAATTCAGTCTGATGGATTTCTTCCTCAGAGTCCAGGGTCATTGTACAATTTCCCCTTATGTACAGAAATGATTCACATCACACCAGCCAGCATTTTCTAGTTCTTTAATGTAGGCACCTCACTTTCCTCACCCTTTGAAAAGCACACACACTCTCTCATTCTTGCACATGAACACATCATCACCAGATGGCTTTCCCAGGTCTTGCAGCTGCCTATGGTCCAGGGCCATGGAGGATGGGAGCTGGCAAAGCCGGAATCTCAGCCAAATGCCTTTTATCCTGTGGCTGGAGCTGACCCAGGGGCCTGCACCAGCACTTCAACAGCAGTCCCAGCTCACTGTATCTGTTGGATTTCCTAACATTGTCATAGTTCTTTCCACAATGTTTTAGCTCTTCCCTCCACACTTTGCACAGGGGCAGGACTAAAAGGAGTAATAAAAACCATCTTTTTTTTTTTTTTTGGTCAAGAATCATAATGCAGCTGAGTTGGGCTCAACTATGTTGTTCAAAGATGGACTGCTGTAATAGAGGGTATCAATATGTAGATGACCAGGCATCTCATATTCTTGGCCTTTAGTTGGTCCTCAAGATACAACTAAGTGACTTGACTCTTGACAGTCCATAAAAGGAAGAAGACAAGACTGGCTTTGGTGTACAAAGAGACATGTGTTTCAGCCCCATGATCCAAACCACAGTCTTATATTAGAATTTTAGGCAATGAGTTTTTTACAATGCATGTAGCTTAAATGTCCTTTTACTGTGGGTCCCCAGTCACCAGTTAGTCAAGTTGCCTTATCACAGCTGGGATTTCTTATGCGGCTTCTACCAGTGCTGGAGAAAGATTTTTCCACAGTGGTGCTGACTGGGCTATTGTGGACAGAGGCTGGGCCTCCATGATTTCTACCTGGCTAGGCTCCTGTTGGGGCCAGCAGTCTAGACTGGAGGTCATAGACAAGACATAACATTCTTATCATGAGCAGCCATCACTGTCTACAGTAGATTGAGTTTTAATTACCTGAAGAAGTTCTTCTAGCTAATATTTCCTTTAGGCATGGCACAAGCTGCACAGCTTGACTTCTTAATTCAGTCATAAGGCCTGTCTTCATTTCTCATGGAGGTTGTGGAAGAAAATAAATAGATGCTCACAAAATTAGCAGAAGGACAGTGGAATCTGTGAATGAAATGGCCAGTAATAGGCATTACAGAACAGTGGCCCTACCATTGTCTGCTGAATACCTTCAGGTTTGAATAACTTCAAATCTAATTCAGTAAAGTAAGTTAATTGAACATGTGAGTTTGGGCACTTCTCTGGGTGCTGAGTGTGTATCAAAATTAGTAAGCATACTTGTATATTTCTATATCCAGAGCTAAATAAAATCTAACTAGTATGTCTTCTTCCCACATACATTTGTTGAGCAGCTAATATTAACATATTGACAGTCAATATATTTACTGAGGCTCTATCAGGTACTAAGCTGTAACTTCCCCTTATCTCTCTCTATCCATATGTAAAATCTCTCTATATAACTTCTAAGCCTCACCAACCCTATAAGGTAGCTGATATTATCTCTGTTTTAGGTATAAGGAAACTGAGATTCAGAATTAAGTACCTCCCTGACATTTTACCTTTTGATTCCCAGCCTTGTATTCTTTTCTCTGTTCTATGCCAGGTGAAAGGTCATACATGGGTTAAAGAGGAATCAGTGGCCCAGCCTTCACCCACAGAGTCCACCATTTGATTCAAGTCCCCCAAAAGACCTCACATGGTGGTTTTTGGATCACATGATGATTACAGGTGTGCTCAGCAGGGTCTCCAAAAGAGGCTGGCTTTAAGAGCACTACCACATGCTAGTTGTGGGGCCTTGCAAAAGCTACTTAATCTTTTTGACCCTGCTTTCTGATAATTGAACTGGGATAACACCTTCCTGGTGCAAGTGTTGAAAAGATGGAAAGGTATATATATGTGTGTATGTGTGTTAGTGTGTGCATGTGGTGTGATCATTACATTGCAAGAGCTTAACAAGGGGGAGCTGGCATTATTAATTCTCCATTGCACCTGTGTTTTCATAGCTGTGTCATAAAACTCTATTTAGCTTTTGAAACCACATCCAGCATCTTCCCCTCCTTATTCTGAATGTGTCACCCTTCACTGGGTGTTAAACTCACATCGTTCTCAGCAGCTATAAAAAGTCTTTCTGTCATTGGTGAAAGTGCTCTATCCCACATAGAGATGCCACTGAGATGCCAGCTTTTCCAAGCTGTAGACTTCTTGGCTTGTTTGTATAGGTGTTGGTGGAAATACCTTGAGTGAGGAGAAGAATAGCACAGCCAATTCTGAGGTCTTCTCTACAGACAGCCTGAGCAGTGGGCATCAGGGAAGATTTTCACCACAGATGCAAGACAAAGAGAGAAATATTGAAGAACTAGAAATGGTTGGAACTCAGAGTTTATTGTTCAAGTGGGGACCTCAGCTATGTGCTCTCCCATTAAATGTAATTGTACCTGTGGTTTGCTCTTTAGGGTTTGGAAGAAAGAGCAGGCTGTGGAACCCAGCAGCCCTGGCTTCAAAGTCCCTCTTTGCTCTCTGTTTACCATGTTGGGTAGATAGATGTTATTTAATCCTTCTGGCCCTCAGCTTTCTCATTTGCGAAATGAAAATAAGTGCCTGCACTGAATGGTTGCTGAGAAGAATATAAAGAGAAGAAGGCAAAGCTCCTAGTGTAGTACCTGGGCCACAGACTCAGTGTTTTAGCCACCATTGTCCTTAGTTACTAATTACAATTTTTACTGGTAAAAACATTGGTTGCTGCCAAGGGCAATGCATTAACAACTAGGCATCCCGTGTTCTTGGCTGTACTTGGTGCTCAAGCTACAACTAAATGGCTTGGCTCTTGACAACCCAGAAGGAGGAAGAACACAAGGCTGACTCTGGTGTACAGAGAGCCATGTGTTTCAGTCCCAGATCCACCACCCTCCACCTGTGTCTCCTTCGATATGGAGTAGAATGGTCTCCTTTTTCCCCTCCAGACATTTTTCCCTTTTTCTCTGGACCTTACAAAGATGACATTTATGGACTATGTCCCCCTCTTCCTTCTAGTTGATTCTGCCTAGGAGAAGCCCTGTGTTTAAAGACAACTGTCTTTATTCTCACATACTACCCCATTCACAACGTTTGTGACATCAGATGTGTATGTGTGGGCTCTCTGGAGTTAGCAACAGATCCCACAGGTTAATGACTCAATCAGGTTAATGAAATAGGGACAAGACTGCCCCTATTTCAGACACCAATTACAATTAGTTATGCACACTTCTGTTTGACTTGCTGCAAACTGAGGTTCTTACAATGTTCTCCTTAGATGTGATAATTTCCTATAGCCACTTATTGGACCCAGGCAAATAGTTTATTTGCTGTTACCAATTTATTACAAAGAATGTTTTATTTTAAATTTATTATTTGATTTTTCTAAAGATTTTTATTTATTTCCTTTTAGAGAGGGGGAGGGAGAGAGAAAGAGAGGGAGAGAATCATCAATGTGTGGTTGACTCTCATACACCCCCTACCTGGGATATGGCCTGTAACCCAGGCATGCACCCTGCATTGGGAGTTGAACCCGCGACCTTTTGGTTCAGAGGTGGGCATTCAATCCACTGAGCCACACCAGTCAGGGCTCAAAGAATATTTTAAAGGGTACAAGTGGATAGCCAGATGAAGAGATGCATGGGGCAAAGTCTGGAAGGGCCCCGAGAGCAGAAACTTTTGTCCCTGTGGAGCTGGGTGTGCCATCCTCCTGACACATAGATATGTTTACCAGTGTGGAAGTTCTCTGAACCCCATACTTTTGGAATTTTTATGGAGACTTCATCACATAGGCATGATGATTATTAACTCTGTCTCCTCTTCCTAGAGAATGAGGGCTAGGGTGGAGTGGAAAGTTTTAAACTTACATTTGTGGTTTGGTCTTTCTGGTGACTATCTACCTTCCTGAAGCTATTCAGCAGCCCATGAAGAATTATCTCTCTAGATCAAAAGATACTTCTATCACCCAAGAAATTCCAAGGGATTTAAGAGTCTTGTCAGTAATCAGGGTTAAAGATCAAATATTAGAACAAAAGATGCTCCTAGTTTCTCATTATTTAGGAAATTACAAGGGTTTAAGGACCTCTTTGCCAGGAATGAGGAACAGAGATAAATAGATATATTTTCTATTATTTCACACCCTGGTAGAAGCCTGTAGTTGGAGGATTAGTGAGGACAGGCTTGTCATGTTCTGCCTGTGCTGGGGTTGGCTGTGCCCTTACACTGATGAGCACCCTTTGCTTTGCCACAGAACTCTTCTCTTGGTTTTGTCAGTCACACCCTCCTTCACTCATCAGACTCAGAGAAGGTAATAACACCTACTGTTGTAGTCCAGGGTACTTAGCTCTCTTTACTGGTTTCTCTAAATGTTGCAAACACTTTTGAAAACAGTCCTTTTGTGAGCACTCCTCTGTTAGCCAGGTTGAGTGTGTGTACTTTCTCTTTTTACTGGGACTCTGATTCACACAGCAAAGTTACCCTACCTCTCTCAACCTAATTTTTTTCACGATTTAAAATTTTTTTTAAATTTTTAATTACAGTTGACATACACTATTATATTAGTTTTAGGTGTACAACCACATGATCAGACACTTACATAATTTTTGAAGTGATAACACCAATAAATCTAGTACGCATCGTCACCTTATATAGTTATTGCATTAATCTTAACTGTATTCCTTATGCTGTACTTTACATTCCTATGACTATTCTGTAACAACCAATTTTTACTTCTTAATGCCTTTTCCCTTTTTTACCCATCCTCCCAACCCACCCTTCCCATTGCACAATCATCAAAATGTTCTCGTACGTGTGAGTCTCCCTCTGTTCTGCTTGTGTGTTTATTTATTTTTTAGATTCCACATATAAATCAAAGTATCTGCAATTTGTCATTCTCTATCTGACTTATTTCACTCAGTATAGTACCCTCTATATTTACCCATGTTGATGCAGATGGCCAAATTTCATTTCTTTTTAGGGCTGAATCATATTCCATTGTATTTATGTACTCCTTTATCCATTCATTTATTGATGGATGCTTAGGTTGCTTTCATCTTGGCTATTGTAAATAATAATGCAATGAACATATGAATGTATATGTCTTTCTGATTTGGAGTATTGGACTTCTTCGTATAAATACCCAGAAGTGGAATTTCTGGGTCCTTTATTGTCTCTTGATATAGCCTTTATTTTTAAGTCTATTTTCTCTCATATAAGTATTGCTACCTTAGCTTTGTAGTTTGTTTGTTTCCATTTTCATGAAATATCTTTTTCCATCCCTTTACTTTGAAACTCTGTGTGTCTTTCCATCTGAAGTAAGTCTTTCATAGACAGCATATGCAAGAGTCTTGTTTTCTTATTCATTCAGCAGTCATATGTCTTTTGATTGAAGCATTTATTTTATTTGCATTTAAAGAAATTGTTGATAAAAATTGTTTATTTATTGCCATTGCATTATTCATATTTTTAATTTTTCCCTGTTCTTCTTCTTAAAGAAAACCCTTTAACAATTTCTTGTAATACTGGTTTAGGTCTGACAAACTCCTTTAGCTTTTTTTTGTCTGAAAAGAACTTTATTTGACCTTTGATTTTTTTTTTAATTATTGTGTATTCTATTATGGTTTTCCCTCACTTTTCCCCCTTTACCCACCCTCCCACTCTCACAGTCAATCTCCATGCAGTTATCCATGTCTATGACCATTCATACACGTTCTTTGACTAATCTGTTCCCCCTCTTTCCACCATTCCCCTTCCCTCTCTGTTAGCTGTCAGTCTGTTCCATGTTGCCATGTCTCTGTTTTTTGTTTTGTTTGTTAGTTTATTTTGTTCTTTAGATTCCTCTTATAAGTGAGATCATATGGTATTTGTCTTTCACTGACTGGCTTATTTCACTTTGCATAATAGCTTCCAGTTCCAACCATACTGTTGCAAAAGGTAAGACATTTCTTTCTGCTGCATAGTATTCCATTGTGTAAATTTACCAGTTTTTTGATTCACTCATCTACTGATGGGCTCTTGGGCTCTTTCCAGCACTTGGTTATATAAATAACACTGCTATGAACATAGGGGTACACAAGTTCTTTTGAATTGGTATTTCAGGATTCTTAGGGTACATTCCCAGCAGTGGCATTGCTGGGTCAAAAGCAGTTCCATTTTTAATTTTTTGAGGAAATTCCATACTGTTTTCCACAGTGGATGTACCAGCCTGCATTCCCACCAAAAGTGTGGTAGGGTTCCCTTTTCTCCACATCCTTACCAGCACTTGTTTGTTGATTTATTAGAATAGCCATTCTGACAGGTGGGCAGTGATATCTCATTGTGGTTTGAATTTGCATCTCTCTGATGGCTAGTGATGTTGAGCATTTTTTCATATGTCCATGGGCCATCTGTATATCCTCCTTGGAGAAGTGTCTGTTCAGGCCCTTTGCCCATTTTTTAATTGGATTATTTGTCTATCTGGTGTTGAGTCGTATGTGTTCTTTATATATGATGAGGTCTGTCCAGAAAAAGTCCAGCTATTGTGAATACAATGAGAACAGTTTGTGTGACATCCATGCAACTTGGCAGCCAAAGAGGGTGAACTGGAATGCATGTAGGTAAATGGTGACTTCACTGTGTTGTTAGTGGGGGCAGTATACACCATTGAGTGTGTCATGTGTGGCTGTCGCATTAAAAATGACTGAGTGAGTAGAACAACAGATTTTGTGTTAAGCTTGAACATAAGCTTGAGCCACCTTTGTGGAAAATATTCAGATGATTCAGAGGCTTTTGGGGATAATGCAATGAGTGCAGTGCAAATAAAAGTGTGGCACAAGTGCTTTTAAGGTGGTCAAGAATATATTGAAAGTGCTTCATGTTCTGGAAGGCCTGCACCAAGCAGAACACCTGAGAATGTTGAATGTGTACAGGCTGCAATCAACAAAGATCAGCAACTGACAGTGGAAAACTAGAAGCTGACCTAGGAATTCCGCAAACTACTATGTCCAAGATTTTGATGCAGGATCTTGGCATGAAACATGTCATGGCAAAATTCATTCCATGGCTTCTGCTACCAGAGCAAAAGGAACATTGTATTGCAGTTGCTAATGACTTGATTCGAACTGATACCAAAGAAACAGATTTCCTCAAGAAGGTTTTAACTTTGAAGGGGACTGATGCATCATTTTCCTACGTACCATGTTTCTTGTATCTTGTATCTTCTTCAATAAATGTCTCTTTTTCATAGTACACGATTGGATACTTTCTGGGAAGAACTTGTATTTTGGAGATTAAACACTTGTCCCATGTATCATAGACAAGTATGTTATCCCATACAGTTGGTTCTCTTTTCATTTTGATGATGGGTTTTTTAAGCCATGTGGATGGTTTTTAATTTGATGTAGTCCCATTTGTTCATTATTTCCTTTATTTCCCTTG